GCATTAATTTGTATCTTTGTATATCACAAATAAGGCGTACGAACGCGAGAAAAAGATGTAAAGTTGTTCGATACTGAGTCTTACATTTTACAAGACTGTACTTTTTACTTAAGTACCAAAAATCAGGGTCCCACTTACGATTACCATTATTCGGTACAAGTCACCAATCGGATTGTCTTTAACTACTTTCACCTGTTTTGAACCAAAACAAGGCTAAACTAATCTTCGTCGGTACAAATACAATGCAGCAATGAAACAAATACAATGAACCAAATAATACGCAGCATAATTACTGTATGACGTTCAGAACAACATATATGACGAAGTATTTGAAACAGATCATTATGATGTAACGAGAACATTATTGAAAAAAAGGAAATAAGTTAACTTATAGACACAGAATAGTAGGTTACGGACTGATTCTTTAAAAACAATCGACTTCAATATATATGTGTTTGCCAAGACAGGTGAGCTTAGGTAATTAGACTTATCATCCATTGGTATATCATGTAAAAACTACTGTTAAAAATAAGTCTCTCAAAAATCGTGTTAGTTCAGAGCCGAGTCCACAACTTGCGGGATTATTCCGATAAACATTTTTGTTCCTAGACCAATGTAACCACGCAAGCCAGCGTTTCCGAGCCATCTCATAGCTGTTAAAGACAGAGCTGTCGCTCTTTGTAGAATATGTTGAAAAGCGTAGTGCTAGCATATCTATTTGATTGAAGTGAAGATTGAAGTTAAGTGGTAGAGCCGTGTTCTTCAACTATACTTCCCAAGCTTTCATATTAGATTGGCGGGAAGTGATTGCAAGGTCGATTGCAGTGAATTCATAATTATTGTTAGAAGTAGGGAGTGGTTGATACAATCCCACGGAATGACAAAAATGTTGAAACCGATCAACTTCTGAAGTTTACGTTTTTACAACGAAATTCTCAGGTATAGTTTTTATATTGTTGCTGGGTTGCCGTGATAAATTATGCTATTACGAAGTTCAGACCAGATTTTATGAAATTCATTTGCCATCCTGGAATCTATAATTGATTGTAATTTTTCCTTTTGTTTTTCAGTTCTTAGATCTCAGTCATTTATATGCGTTACTTAATACTAAATAAAGATTTAGTTATTTATAACATTTACACAGCTTACATGAGGTGTGCATGTACTATGCGTAGGGTTTGAAGTATATTTATTCCAGACAGTCGTGGCAAGGTTAGAAAGCGTAAGTTTAATATTAAGAACAGTTTTCAGTAATTTTTACTAAAATAACATAAAGTGGATAATTGCATACAATGATCTTCAAAACCTTTCAAGAATTAGGTAGATCGTGCAATCTTTCTTCAGTACATAGCACCACTTATATATCAAAATGATCATGTTGGCCACCTCAGACACCACATACACGACATTTCTAATATTGCAAGTTTCTCTCATTACGCGATCAAAAGAGTGAGCAACCCATTTGGTTTACTTTTGTTATTTTCAAGAGAAAATATGTTATCATCTATTTATCTGGCAGATAGTCCTTAAATTGCAGAAAACTTAGAATTCTTTACATATTTATAGTGTACTGCACTTGAGATTGGAGTTTGATATATATTGGATTTAGATAAACAAGCTTCTGAATGGCATGCGATACCATTAAATTTATTTAAGAATTATTTATGGAGCTCCCAATTTATCAACTTACCTGCACTAAATTTTTTCAAACATTAATTGTTTCGATATTCCTTTTTCTTTTAAAATGTATTATATATTACGGTAGAACAACCGTAGTGATCGAGTCAACACTTCACACCAATTGCCTTATAATGGGCATTGAAAGGCTTGTGTTATGGGCTAACGCCTAGAAATGCATAATGATGATGCATAGATTAGTATGATTTTGAATTCATATTTGTTAACAACCAAAACTTAGGCACAGATACTCGTTTTTATCATACAATGATTTGCCCCACCGGGGTGAACCCAAGACCTCAGAGTATGCGACACCTTAAAAACCACGTACATTGCACTTCCCAACGGGGTACGTCAACATTCGATGTTCGATCTTTATAGTCTATTAAGAGGGTAGTTTATAGCCGATACTTATGTGTGTACGCAAGCCATGAGCGGGTATGTTGCGTTGCGTTGATGTATGGATTTCCACGCGATGAAAGTAATGAATTATGTCAAGCGACATTTATTATATTTTCAATTTACTTATTTTTAATGTTTCGAATCGTTTACACTTTTACAGACCCCATGGTCACAAAAATAAATTATGAATCATGAATAGACTACATGTTAAATTATGCATAATTTGCTCCACTTGAGTGTCGTATGTTACCGGTGCTTCCATAATAGTACGAACTCCATAAGCGAACATGTTCTAAGGAGAACATATATTGATATTCACGTAATGGAAATAATATATTATGTGTGATATGACCCCACAAGGGCGATTATAAGATTGATGAGGATATTTCTCTATCAACGATGTTTTGTTACTGATACTTGTATGTGTAGGCAAGCCATGGAAGGCAAGTCCTTATTCATAATGAGTTCCATACGGAGGAAGCAAATTATACATAATATGGCCCCGCGAGGGGCGGTCATCAGTTTTGGTAATATGCACGCCGCGAAGGTGGTTTGCTACCGGTACTTGTATATGTAAGCAAGGCATTAGAGGTATTTCATAAGGTTTCACGTAGTGGAAACAAATTGTATATAATATGCACCCCGCGAGGGTGATTTGCTACCGGTACTCGTATATGTAGGCAAGGCATTAGAGGCATTTCATAAGGTTCCACGTAGTGGAAACTAATTGTACATAATATTCACCCCGCGAGGGTGATTTGCCACCGGCACTCGTATATGTAGGCAAGGCATTAGAGGCATTTAATAAGATTCCACGTAGTGGAAACAAATTATATATAATATGCACCCCGCGAGGGTGATTTGCCACCGCACCGGTACTCATATGTGTAGGTACGCCATGGGAGGGCATGTCCTGACACGCCTTGGGCTTCACGAGATGAAGCTTATGAATATCACTTGCCTCTGCGCGAGTTGCTCATTAGGTTGATAAAATGTCAATCACTTAAATCCATGACAAATACTTACTTAATACGAGAAAAACAACCTCATAGATGGTATCTTATTAAGTGGTGCTTCATCACAGAGATCACTAACTTCTTAAGCAGTGCTTTCGTTTTTACTTTTTAGCTTTGCGCTAGCTGTAAAAGACCTAAGAAACGATTCTGTTATCTTATCACTTTCGTTATTAAAATTAACTGAGCAGGTGCCTTCCCGCAATGATTCATTTTTATTTTAGAAATATGCAATTGCTGAAAGAAAATTAATGTCAGGAACGTGATATATCATAAATTATCATCATACTTCTTTACCTCGTTGTTTGTTTCCAGGTTGATAAAGCCTGGACTATGATTATAATTTTTAATTTACATCAGCATATCATTTAAAATAAACGTTGAATGTCTTTCGAACATAGCGTTCCTTTATCCTAGTTTAGTCACACGACTCATATGAGAATTTTTATTATGTGTATTGGTCAGTAAAAATGTTAGAACTTTTTATTCATAAGCCTTTCGATATTGATAGCTGGCCATGTTCAGAAAACGGCATATCGACATTAGAAATACCTTATTAAGATTGTACATAGTTCACTTACCCCTCGAACAATCTTTTAATAAAAGGGCTGGAATATCAAGCTCGCTTATTTTTCTTGAGGCAGCGATGCCGCTTTCGTTATACCAAAAGACGACAAATTCTACCAATTATTACTGCAGCTGTTCGAAGAACAATAATGACACATCTTGCTGTTTTTGCCAATAATGCCAGTCAGTCGGCGGCTGAAACGTCAATATTGACCGATATTCATTCACTCTAAACTGTAAAACAATTTAATTAAGTATTTTGTAATACATTTACCAATTTACTTTCACATTTACTTATACGGAAACATTAATTGAGTACCAAGAGAAAACACTCTTAAAATAGTTTTTATGATAAACGACCAAGACAGACGTAAAGTATTGCAAAATTTACTTTAATGTAGGTACTTTAATTTTTTAAACAAAACGCACCTTGAATTGCCGTCTAGTTTTACTCACGGCTTATTATTACTTTTTCAAACAAGCGTATTGCACAATTTAACATATTTGTTTTAAATATCCCTTATCACAAGGGCTGCAAAAACTATCAAAAGGAATAATAGTTTTACTTACGGTTCCTTCACTTTTAACACGTAAAGTACCTATTTGGAATAACACGAACGGCAAAAACCGTTAGAATAAAATAGTTTTACTTACAGTTTTATCACTTAATAATAATAAAACCTTTAAAATCTCACAACGATCGCTCAGATTGAGGACGTGTTGCTTCGACGGGAGTCAGAACGCCAATGAGTTAATATGGCGCTGTCAAAACATAGGAAAACAAAAATGGCCGCGCTTCTGCCAGGTGTCGCCACTGGACCGGATACAAGGTGAATAAAAGTACGGAAACTGATGGTAATTCGACGGGAAACGGAAGTGCTATCTCAATATAAAGCTTTCAGTGACGGTCAAGTAGTTTAATAAGTGGTTAGGATGAAAAAAGAGACAAACGAGTAATCTACCTACACTCGCGTTAAAAAGAAAACTACATAAAATACTGTAGGCTGGCGGCCCTACCGCGTGCCAACGCAGCGCTAGGTGTAGGCATTTATTTTCAAGGACAGGGCGGAGTCACAATACTGTATAGATAATATTACCGTGTCATAGGGATGTGCGGAGCCTAAACTCAGCCAATCCCAAGCGTTTTGGGTCACGTGACAATAGATAAGAAAACTATTATCTTTTTCGTGGGTTTTTAGTAAAATTACGAATATTTTTTTTTTGTAAAAATAGTAAAAACCCCTGCCAATATTCATTCTAAACACAGATGCTAACAATTGGCACTTTATTTTTAGTACTGTCAAATACCCTATTATTACATCACGTTGCCTTTGTCTCCAGCATCCTTACCCTACTGAAGAAGAGAAACGCACCCTAGCGGCGCAGACGCGACTCACGCTGCTGCAAGTCAATAACTGGTTCATCAACGCCAGGCGACGTATTCTACAGCCGATGCTGGACTGCGCGGACAAACCGGGTGAGAAATCTTTATATGTACTAGCAAACCAATGAACCAAATGTTCACCAATTAAAATAAAAAAAATGTATTTAATTAATTGAGAACTTCGGAGATTTTGTGTGGTTTCGTTTGAAATTCGTGATTTCTCGAAAACCGGAAGTGCTACGTTACTCAAATCCGGTTTGTAGTCTTATCAGACTATTCTTAACTTATAACTTAAATATTCTCTTTATCTATCTCTTACGGTTTGGCCGCTGAAACAGCACCACAGACAGACGGACGGACGGACGGACTTGTCTAATAGATAAGAGATTCTTAAAAACCAGAAGTAAACCAGAACCAGGAGCTAAATGGCGCAGGTGGCTGCGATCGTTGAAGTTAAGCAACTTTCGCAGTGGTCGGTCATTGGATGGGTGACCACTAATCTTCTAACTCGAGTTCCTCCGTGCTTCGGAAGGCACGTTAAGCCGTTGGTCCCGGTTGCACCTGCAGTCGTTAGCACCCACCAAGGGCCCGCGTGGGGGGTCATGGCCCAATCTCCCTATTTCATTAAAAGGGAAGGCCTGTGCCCCAGCAGTGGTGACATTAATAGGCTGATGATGATGATGAAACCAGAACCAGCTATCAAATTTAGTCCAAAAATTTATACGTAAGCGCCATCTTAGGATTTGAGAATTGTTTCGCTACACTTCTTTTGAGAAAGTAAAATATTTATTTAAGACGATGACCTCCGTAGCCAAGTGGTTTGTACGCCGGGTTTTAAGGTATCGCCCAATCAAGAGGTCCCGGGTTCGAATCCCGGTGGGGGCAGATATTTGTGTGATGAATACGAGCATTTGTACTCCAGTCATGGATGATTAATATATATTTCTATATAAATATACTTTTATATGTATTCTATCCGTTACCCTAGTATCCCATAACACAAGCCTTACAGTGCTTACTTTGGGGCTAGGTTAATTGGTATGAGTGTTGGAAATATTCTTTTATATTATTACTAGCTGACCCAGCGATCTTCGTACCGCTATAAAAATAGGGGCAGGTGGTAGAAGAGAAAATTTAGGGTTGTATGTATTTTTTAATACCACATTATAAAAAAATAAAAATTGTCAAAAAATATTTTAGGGGTGTGTAACGTATTGTTCTATCAATTTCCTGGGATAACATTCCTCCTAACCCATATGAGAACACTACGTTACAATACCCAATAGTTTGAATTTTGGCGCGAAGGCGCATTGTAGGTTTCAGAACACTACGTTACAGGTGGACAACCATTATCACTTAAGGATATGAAAAATAGATAGTAGCCGATTCTGAGACCCACGGAATATGCATATAAAAATTTCATAAAAATCGGTCAGGCCGTTTCGGATGAGCATGGTAACTAATATTGTGACACGTAAATTTTATATATAAGATTTATTTAATACTGCTTAATAGCAGTATTAAATAAATCTTCAATTTAATAATTGACAGACATGTTAGTTGAATAATGATAATCGACAAACCTTTCAGAATGAGGCGTTAATATCTATACTTTTAAGTGTCATCATCATCAGCCTATTAATGTCCCCATTGCTGGGGCACAAGCTTTCCATATGGATGGAATAGGGAGATTGGGCCATGACCCACCACGCGGGCCCAGTGCGGATTGGCGGGTGCTAACGACTGCAGATGCAGCCGGGACCAACGGCTTAACGTGCCTTCCGAAGCACGAAGGAACTCCAGATAGTAAATTTTTAGTCACCCATCCAATGACCCACCACTGCGAAAGTTGCTTAATTTCAACGATCGCAGCCGAACGCGCTAACCACTTGCGCGATCGAGCTCCTCAATTTTAAGTGTATAATGCGATTCAACTAGGAATGGGACTGACTGGGCGCCATATTTTGACGTCATAGCTGTCAATTCAAACCAAATAGGTAGAGTGAGCAAAAAAGATTTTATTTAATAAAACTTCTAACTAAGATTAAGTGAGAAAAAACATCAGATACTTTTATTAAAATATTTACTAAGATTGAGAAAAAAAACTACTAATTTTTAATAATATTTATTTAATAAGACTGTGTTAGAAAAAACATAAATCAGAATCTAGTTTTTCAATTCCGCTCATCTCTGCATTACCGCCGGAGTAGTTTTGAATAATCATGCACTATTACCAGGTGACATACGAACATGCATCCTTTAGGTAAACGAAAGTTTTAAATTGAGTTTCTGAACGCAACTTAAAGTGACATTTGGTTGACGGTTTAGGTTATTAACTATTCATAGCCAAAGCTCAATAAATGAAAAAAATATATCAACCGATATTAATTATCAATATTTGTTATTGTTTGTTAACAAATGTGTGGTTTTTATTCTAGAATTAGCTGAGTGATAAAAAAGGGTTCCAAAATATTTTTTGCAAACCGTACTTTTCAAGCGACATTTGACAGATGGAGGTCACTGGCTTTCCGATTCTTATTTGAAGCATTATACTTACAATGAATTTCATTACAGGCGGCAAGAAAAGTAAAAACGGTTCCAGCATAAGCAAGCGGTACTGGCCAGACGCTCTCTCTAACCCGCAGTTCACCGCAGGTATTTTCATTTAATAATAATAATACCTTTCATTTTTATTTATACTAAAAACCTGTAAGGTACAATTTTTTTACAGCTGTTAAAGGACATCGACGAAATCGGCCCTGGCAGTATAATAATTATAACCTCCAAATCTAATACATTCTGTAGTAGGCCACGGTTTCTCGAGTTGTCCGTATCTCAACAAATGCCTAATAAGAGTTTATGAATGACTAGCGGCCCGCCCTCGCTACGCTTCGGTGTAGAGCTGACATTCATCTATGATTCTTCTTATACCTGCATGCAAAGTCTCAGTCCGATCGGTTTAAAATATACAAAGTTTCATACAAACTTTCATTCCCTTTTTTATCCCCTTGGGGGTAGAATTGATCAAAATCCTTTCTTAGCGGATGCCTACGTCATAACATCTACCTGCATGCCAAATTTCAGCCCGATCCGTCCAGTGGTTTGGGCTGTGCGTTGATAGATCACTATGTCAGTCAGTCACCTTTGAGTTTTATATATATAGATTCCGAACACAACTAGCATTTTTTCTTTGCTGTGCGTTCTAGGGCATTCAATGTATGCGGAACGAGCAATGTCCTTTATGTACATCGGTCATTCTTACGACAAGGTGTGCTTCGTATAATTTTCATCACGATTTTAAATTTTTCATTAAATTTCTCGCATCGACAATAAAACTTGAAGAACACGTTAAACTTTATAAATTTTCGCATTAAAGTGATATACTTTTGGGGCGTGAAGGAAATTTCTTTCTCAGTAAGTCATACCGAATTTTTTAAAAAAATCCGTAAAGGATACGCACGGCGCCATGTGTGAGAGCGTAAATTCATTTTTTGAGCATATACGTGGGACACTCAAAAAGTTTTGAAAAACTAAAAAAATTAACTTCTATGAAAAGAAATATATTAAATCTTTTCTAAGAACTCTCCACCAGTCTCTATACAAGGGGGGGGGGGGGGGGGGGTGGGGGGGGGGGGGGCATGACCCCCCTGCCCCTAACGACTGAAGATGCAGTCGGGAGCAACGGCTTGACGAGCCTTTCGAAGCACGGAGGAGCTCGAGATAGTAAATTTTTGGTCACCCATCCAATGACCGACCACTGCGTCGCTTGTCAAGGGTCAAATGTCTTCAAATAAATCAACGGGAAGCACATAAAAATAAGCTAATTTTGTAAACTTTTATTTGTTTTTTTTTAATATAAAAGTATTTAGTAAGTTTTTAATACTGTTGGGGGAGGCATATGTCCAGCAGTGGGGGTTTCTCGGCTGCTATGATGATATTTATATACGTATCAAAGATATGTATTCTATCCATTACCCTAGTATCCCATAAGAAAGAAAGAAAGAAATAATTTTATTTGAGACAACAAAAAAAAGCATAATAATATAAAACATAAAATAAAACAAATTTAGTCTCAAAACGGTCCCAACTCAGCATAGTGCTAATGGTGCCATTAGCGCTGGTCTTCCGTTGGAAGCGGTTTGGTGTCGCACGAATCAATAACAACAAGAACAACAAATAAAAGATTAAGAACATAAAAAAATAGAAAACAAAATAAAAAAATAAAAAATCAAAAAACCCGTACCATAAGCCAGTGCTTACTTTAGGGCTAGGCTAATTGGTGTGATTATGGGCAATATTAATATTATTACTATCCACCAGGTCTCCTATCGTCTTCCGAGGACGAGGATCAAGAAGCTGAGCAGTCGGACAACGAACCCGAGACCCGGTCGGATGAGAGCCGGGAGCCTACCAACTTCCCGTCCATACAACAACCCATGCACTAGTGAGCCATAATGTAAGTTTAGCACATGGAATTAAACCACATCTCAGAGATTTACTAACGCCAAGAAAAAAAATGCTTAAAAAATAAGTGTTTTTTTATATATTTTTTTAAAGCATGTATCTGCTTGATGTTTAAATCTAAAGAAAATATAACTAGAAAAAATCCACACGGACCAGGCAGCAGACGGGACTCGAACCCGCGCCCTTCGCGCTTAAGTGCATTTGCCCGGACTGCGAAGGGTGCGGGTTCGAGTCCCGTCTGCTGCCTGGTCCGCGTGGATTTTTTTCTAGTTATATTTTCTTAAGTGTTAAGTTCGTTAAATAAATTGTCATCAAAATAATTTGGAATTTATGTTATTTATTTATTTGGATTGTTAATAACAAAAGCTATTGTAGGAGGACTCTTAAAACCCTTTAATTTTCAGTAAACTTTCATATTTATAATATTTTATTTGATTATCATTTCATTCATGAAACGTAAATTATATCTACCAATGTTATTGCCAGTGACGAAGTTATTAACTTGGAAAATATTATTCAAAAATTGCACTTGCTCCAATTGCAATTAATTTAACTTTGAAGTATTAAACAGAGTTATCAGTTACCTTATCATAGTCATTAATTTTGTCAACATTTTGAAGTGATTTTAGCGTTTAATTTTAAATACTCAGAAGCTGACTGGTAAGGGATATTGCAATATACATAGCTGGGCACCGTTAATCAAATAGTTAACTTCGTCAATCGTTAATCCGTTACTAAAAAAAATAACTTCGTTAAATTTTAAAACGTTACATTTCGGAAGATTTAACGCAAGTTAACGTTAATCCGTTAACCCGTGATAAAACGTGCATTTTTTTTATATCATTGCGTTAGTGATTTGCTTACAAAAACTGTTATTTTGGGTTCTGGAAGTTAATAGGTTGGTTTCAAAAAAATAAAATGTATAAATATATAAAATACTAGCTGACTCGGCGAACTTCGTACCGCCCAAAAGTAATAATTTGCAATAAATTAAAATTGCGACTATAATTTGAGATTTAAACTATCCTATCTCTCAAGTTGGATCGAACTGCACATGGTGTGCGCATTTTATTATAATCGGTTCAGTGGCTTAGGAGTCCATTGAGGACAAACATTGTGACTCGAGATTTATATATATTAAGATAAAAGCGTGTAATTTAATCATCATGGCAATGTGGATATTCCCCTTCATGAACAATAGTATGTTGAAGTTCTCGTGTGAGAGTGAGGTGCATTTCGTTTTAACATTTCTATTAAAAAACTTAAAAGTTAATCCGTTAATAGAAATGTTAACTTCGTTAATTAACGATTAACGGATTAACGAGTTAACGCCCAGTTATGTCGATATATTTCAAATAATTGATTTCTTCAGCCCTAATTGTAAATATCAAAAACCTTTCCTTTATGCAGCCCACATAATTATCTTTCTATTTTACAATATGTACATTGTAAGCATTTCGTTTGCCTAGTCCATGTGCTAATCTTAGATAAGGAGACTAGAAAAAAACACAGTAAAATTAGAGAAACGGCTGATTAAAGTAGGAATGTCACTGAATAACACGTCGAGCGTACCACTCTAGACCTTATATCAATGCAATAACAACTATTATACTTTAAACGCTGTTACGCTCGATGCGCTGTTCACAGTACCCCAGTTTTTAACCTCTCCGGGGCGCATACGATTGTTAATATTAAAATTAAAATTGTAAATGATTAATAAGTACCGCAGTCTTCTAAAATAAACTTATTATTATTATTAAACATTTTATAATGTACGTCACATCACTATTGAATATTTTTTTTTATTTATTTATGTAGGTATTCAATAATGGAATAATCATAAAGCGCTCTTAATTACAAGACTATTACTGTAGTACTGAAGTTTGTCGAGAAACTGATTTGACATAAGGTAGGATCACATAAGGCCGCTTTTGAGTTGCAAAAAAAAATCTTTTCAAATATTTTTTTAATCTGGTAGTCGCCCAATATTTATTCCATACAAACATTCTCGCCGGATTCCTACTTGATTTTTATCACCAAAGAAATGAATTTAATACAATAAATAATTTTACTCATTCTACTCTCCTATGTCTCCCTTTTTTGATAACTTTAGAAACTAGAAGCCCTTATAAATACAAAAAATAACCATTTTTTATCTCCTCTAAGGACGACTTGTGTAGCGATTCAATAAGCATTTACAAAAAAAGCAAAACATAGAGGCCTTGTGTAACTTATTTTTATTCTATGGGTAGAATTTCTTTTACATATATCTAATTTACGTGAAGGAGGTTGTCGACAAACTTTCAATTTTGCAAATTTTACGCGCAATTTTCAGCTTTTTCTACTGTTGTCTCTATCGCAAGGTATTTGCCACTATGCGACAGCAATAGTTTAGGCACCCGGTGGGCATCCAGTCGCGAATGCGCCGCAGCGACGACGAGTTAGCCATGCTTAAACGTTTGTATTGTGAATATTTGATTAAATTAAGTAGATACCTACATAATTTTATATGGCAAAGAGCAATAGTCAATATTGTGCTGTTTTTGGTTGCTTGAACTCTTTAATAATGAAACTTTTTATACGAATGCGTATTTATTATACTATAAAATTTAATAATAAAGCTTTTCGTACGTCTCAGTCGAGGGGTTAATATTTTTCTGTCTCAAATCTATATATTTTTTTTATTAAATATTACACTTAAAATAACATGTATTTTATGTAACACTTCCTAATTCATTCACATAATTTTTTTTCATATGAAATAAAATATTTACAATCACAAAACTAGAAACAATTTCAATTATTATGTATGTGATAAATATATCCCCGTTCTCGGTAAATGCTACACATCCGATCTTATGTCACACCCAACCTTAGGCGATCCTAATAATTAAAAATTCAAAACTCGAAGCGGACGCGTTGTAATTATTAAAATGTGACGTGACGCAATATTTATTTTGGTTTAGAATTTTGATAGAAATTAGCGTGGCGTTCTTTAATTTTTTAAAGCTTTTTTTAGCAGAATTAAAACCTCTTTTTGCGTCACGTAGTTTATTAACAACCGGACGAAAATATATTTGCAATTTCTGATCTTAATAAACCTACCAAATTCTAATGTACGTAATGTAATAAAACTAGTTTTTTACGGGTTAATGCACGAAACTTTATTTATTTATTGACGTTTCGTAGCCTTTACAGGCTACGTCGTCGGAATCAAATTTTTATTTAATTTTGTCGAGCTACCTTCGAAAGACTTTTATTGAGCGTTCGGTTATTTCATTGTTTGATTTTTAAAGTTTTATGGTCTATGTATGAATTTATTACTTAATTTAGTTAATAAAGTACTTATTTTATTTAAAATTCTTTTTTGTAATTTTGAGTTTATTTATTTGACCCTAACTACCATATACTACCACCGGTTCCAAAATTGGGAGACCTTTCTGAGAAGAACCGGCGAAACAAACTCAAGAGAGGCTTTCTATCTTCTTCTTATGTTAAATTATGCAAACAAAAAGAACTAGTGTGCTCGGGGTTGGGATTTTATCTCCTGCATAATGGGTTCCCAAGCTTATTAAATAAAAGTAGTTTTATTTAATGAGTGATGTGCGTGAAAACCTAAGAAACAAATAGGTAATGTAAGTTTAATTTTACTATTTTGCAGATATTGTATATTTCAACAGTGATGTGCGTATGTTATTGACGAGTATTGACAAAAAAAAGTCGTTTACTAAAATTTTTATCGCAAAAGACATTATTATACGAGCAGTATACCATAAATGTATAAGGAAATCTTTATATTTAGTATAGTATGACTTGAGCAATAACTATAATGATTTACTTCCATGGTTCAGTTTAAGACAGGCCATTATGGTCGTTTGAGGTTAAAAAGTGCATCAATTTGGAAAAGAAATGAACTTAAACATTAATACAGTTATTATATTACTCGATATATTTGTTGAGAGACTAGAAAGTACAAAGCGATGTTTATTACGAATACTGCAAACGAAACATGGCTGTAAGTAACTTAGATTCCTTTGCCTTCCTAATAAAAAGAAATAAAAAAAATCCTTATGGCTATTGCTCGGTAACCGCGTATACGTAATCCATACCTCAGATATTTTAAATATTTTAATATTTATTATATTAAATTGTATCGAAAACAATGTGTAATTATTATTATTAAAGTGATTTCTTTGAGAAGGCTGATTCTTTATTAACTGTCGCAATAATTCGTCTTTAAAATAATATTATTACTTATAAAAATAGTATTTTTTTCATTTCGTGCCTATACCTACTTTTTGTACATACTTTTCGTGTGTGTTTTTTTATTAATGTATGATAATTCGGCAAAGCTTACACAAGAATCAGCCTATTGATTGTCAAGAATGTCCTTTTTATGTCCCTGAGATAAAATGGTACCTACATAATTATTAATTAGATAAATCACAAAGAGAAAGTAGAGAGTAGAAGAGTGTCTAATAATGGTAGATTAACCACTCAGTGTTCGGGAACATGCACAAGTGTTGGCAAGTGAAACAAAATAGTGGAAAGTGTCTTTCGACGTTCCCTCAAGAAGTCCACGGGGAGGTTCCAGTAAATCCCCACACTTTTACTGAAACATAGGGAAAGGGTAATTGAGTTGACTGCCACTTACTTTGACTTGATTTAGTACATTGACCACGAGTGCTATAGTATTTGTAAACATTTTTACACTTGACATTGGCTTAATGCACAAGCCGTGCGAAGCCATTTAGAAAAAAAAAATACATACCCTCAGTTTATATTTTTTTTTAAAATATACCCTCAGTATATATTTTTTTAAGGGGGAGGGGGAAACCAAAATATTTATTTATTTTGGATAGAAAAATTGGCGACCGCTTTGATGCTAGGACAAACCGGTAGGACCAAAGGCCCTCAGTTTTCTATAAAAGATATTGAAAATAAACTTTACACACACACATTTTATACAGGGACAAAAAAGGAATAGACCGTTTAAGTGTTTGGTTATTTTTTTAATATTTGACGCGGTGGGGTGGTCAATTTTTTGAACCGGTTGTGAAAAAGAAAACATGTATGTAACTCGTAGTTATTTTCAGCTTTTTTTCTCATACACACAGCTGTTATCCGACTGACCATAATGAAATAGCATAAGAATAGTTTTTACCACGAAAAAAATACTATAAAACCGTCCATAGAACAAGATTGTATTTATTTAGTTGTAAAAAAAATAAGTTTTAAATGTTATACATAATAACATACTCATTGTAATTATTATTCGTTTCGTTTTGTAACAAGCCATATTAGATATTAAGTACTTATCTTAAAGTGTATTTTACCATTAACAAAAAGGACTCTTTTTTTTTTCATTAGGTACTTACCTACCTTACATACGAAAGGGATTGAAGGAAATAATATTTTTTTCTTTATTATTCCTTTGTTTTCTGAAAATCTCTTCGTTCTCTAAACTTTAGAACGATTATACGAAACAAATATAAAAATGTATACTCATTGAAAATTATAAACGGTTTGATTCAAAATTGTATACGCAGTTGTAAAAAAAACAGAGGTATTATTAAATAGTCTGTTATGATTTGTAAAATATTTTTTATAGTTACTTTTGGAGAAAGATGTCGTTGCGTTTATTAATAAACAAAAATTTTTTTTATCTTTGTTGACAAAAAAAAAATAAAAATTCTGATTAAGGAAAATTATATTAATCAGTAAATTGGAATAAATGGGCGTATAATTAGCAAAATTAAAATACGTTTCGAATTGTGATCTTTCACATTTTTGGTTATTTTTTTTTGTTATCCCTTTTTTCATCTACCTGGAAATATGTTTAGTACTGTGTCAAATATTCTAAGACTTTAATAAAATGCTCTTAGGTACATTTTAAAAAAGTATTTACAGTCCTAATTATGATTATTATTCAAAAATTGCTTGTTTTGATTTAAAAGAGTTTTGTAGCGCATTTGAAAATGCTAAATGTCTTCCATTAAAAAAATACGTAGTTTTTTTTATATAAATAAATGTATTATCAGTCTGTTTCAAAGGCAAAATGATGTCATTATCGTAAGTTTTAAATGTAGTTTTTTTTTTATATCGAAGCATAAAAAAAACATTTTTTTTTGTTATAATAATCCAGAATTTTTGCTTTTTATATTTCTTTCATTGTCATATAAATAATCATAATTAGGGCCTTTGATAATTATAATATTGTATATATATGATAAAAATATCGTGAAATCTGTTATACGGTGCAACTGATATACGTAATTCGAGTGGTGAAGAAAATAAAAAAAGATTTTTTTATAACTATTATTATTATTAGTAATAACATGTAAGTATACTGTAGCAGTTAAAAACTATATTTAAAAGATAATTATGTAACTTGGAATGAAAAGCTTGTCTGTGAACAAAACGCTTTTGCTTAACTTTTTTTGTATTATTTTTTTATTGGATTCCAAGATACATAGAGTATAGTGAAGAAACTTGTCCACATATAGTATACAATAGTATTTAAAGTCAACGCTTCATAGTTGTAAGTTAAACGTTGCGTATACTATTAAAAACTATGGCATAATATTTTGCTAGTCAATAAAATACTTTTTAGGCTCAATTTTGTGTTTCATTTGCGTAATTTTTCATTTTGCCATCTACTAGTCCAGTAGTCCTGGGTTGAAATCCTTGTTAGCAGCCGTTTTCTGCCCACCAGGGCGCCAATTGCCTAACGGGATTGCTAAGGCTATCGCTCACGATTTCGTTTTGTTATTTCTGGCTAACGAAGGTATTCAATATCTCACGCTCATTTTCTTTAATAATGTTATTTTCAATGCAAAAGAAAAAAAAACTGAGCGCGAGGCATTTGAAAACCCTCAGCGGTCAGAAATAACAAAATGTAATCGTAAGCGATAGCGATAGCCATAGCAATCCATTGGCCCCTAGGTCGGTTGGCCCCAGAGTTGTTTTTAATTCAAACTAAATAAAAACCACAAACTACCATTTTCAAATTACCGGAGCCCAACAAGATTGAATAGCAGCTATGCCACACCGTTACAAGGTGTCCCCATACTGACGCTCCAATTCCAGTGTAAAATCTAGATTTTTTTTTGGGAAAATAAACAATATTTTATTACATTTAGATTAATTAAATATAGAGAATAACATACATCAACAAAGTTTCCACTAACAATTAGTACAGTTATGAGCAGCTGTGTATTTATAAAAAAAAATCATATAAAGTTAAATGCAATAAATAGAATGCTCTACTTCTCCCCTTTTTGTATGAAAATAATAAAAATGAAACAAAAGACGATCTCCAATAACTCATATTTTTTTATTAGAAAACAAATTCGATACAAAAAAAATACTTAAAATGAATATTTACAAGTTTTCCATGTACGTATTACAGTCGCGTACGGAAATAGTCCTTGACACCCTAGACAAAGAATTCATAGTGGAATATTTGAAGCTTACCCTTAAATATATAATTTGTTCCTACAAGTTTAAGTCTCGATACATTAAAGCTTGAAGTGAGCTAATAATATCCTATAGAAATAACATGGTAAGTAAAATATTTGTAAAAAAAAAAGATGAAATGCGAGTTATTAGTTTTTGCCGCAATACAAAAAGAAAACAAATCGTGAAATTTTAAAAACATAACAATAAATCAGTACAAGTTTATCTACTACTCAAACAATATATTTCTTAATAAATTTTGTTCGTTTTTAAGATTTTTTATATTTTTATATACAATATAATATGTATTTACCATTTTATCATTGTTTTATTCGCTCGCTTTCTTTCCCATACAAAATGAAACACTAATCTTACAGTTTATGCAAAAAAACAAAGGTTTTTTTTTAATTCTATATTCTTTCTCGAAATCCATTCATTTATTTAATATCCTATATTTAAAAATCAATAGAAAAATACATTGAGCAAGTTTAAAAATTACTATAATAACACCCACTTTATAAGGCACTTAGTATTTACTTATTTAATATATCACATAATTATTCAAAAGATTAAATAAATAATTATGATCACCGTACAGGTTAGTGAAAATGAATGTGAAATTACATTGATAAGAACAATTAACAGTAAATTCTGTGTGTCATTTGATATTTTTATAAATTAGATTGGGGTATTGTTTTACACGCCAGCAAACTTCTTGAGCAACGACCACAGACAAGGAAGCTTTTTTTTTAATGCATAATAGGCAATGCGTTTGACTACAAGCAGTTTAAGCCTGCGCTGTTACTGCGCAGGCTTAAAACATTAATTTACAAACAAAAACGTCTATTGCGCTAGTTTATTTGTCTGTGGTTTTACTCAAGGAGTTTGCCGCTACCTATACACCTTTATGTCTCCGAAATTGTTTTCAATTAGTCCTTGAAATAAAGAGATATTTCCCTTAAGTAATTATAATTTGATTTCCCACCTCAAATTAGAGATTTTCGTTTCAGAGCAAAATAATAAAAAAATATTTAATTTTCAAACATAATTATATGTGTGCTGTACATTTTTTGATTCGATCATAATTGAATTAAAATTCTGTAAATTATTTTTTATAGTAAATTAAATTTTACTAAAGTTGTTATTAATTTTAATTAAAAAGAAGACTTATGCCTACATAGTCACATTAAAAATATACAAATGTATTTTAGGTATGGATATTTTTAGTGACTAAAAGAACTGGCTGAAATACTAGCACCAATTTCTTTCATGAGACTTACACATAAAACTATAATTTTTAGTATTATTTTGATGATGAAATTAAACGGGGTAAAACTAAAATTTTCTATTACAAGTCATAGTGAAATGACGCACTGGTTAGGTTCTACTGTAGTTCTTAGTATATTTACCCATGTTTTGAGGAATATGAAATTATTTCCATGAAATGTTACCCATGTATTTAAAAAGGTGAGTGTATATATTCAAGCCCACACCAAATCACATCCCTGTCCTTTTTAAAAAAGATGCCACGAGCTCTATGACCTATAAATATACTTTGTGACAAGTTAATTTAAAAAATATTTGCACTATTTTTGGTTACACCAATTTATCTGTTCTACATTCAAGTATTATTTAATTACCGAATTGATGATAAAATTTATAATGTGCATCTTTTTTTACCAACTGCGTAAATTTTGGAGATTTTTTTTATTATAATTTTTTTATTAATTTCAATTGTAAAAACACGCATCTTATAGCACAAGAACCCAACAAGAGAGTTGGTAACAACCGCACTTATAATGCTGCGATTCTGGGTTGAAAAGAAAATGAAACTCATGATTTAAAATTATTTTTATCATAAATAGACTAGCATTTTGCTGCAAATTATGTTTCTAATTTCACATTACATACATTAAAGATAATTTAAACATTTCGTAAAAAAATGGGATTTTCATCTCATTTAACTAGTCAAAAAAGTCATTATTAAAGGTTAACAGCAAAGACTTAACATTTTACTTGCCAGATTCTCTAAACAGTCTTATTATTTAGCATTGTCTACTATCCAATATAAGTTCTTTTATTTTTAATTGAAAAAGTTTTGGCTACACACTAAATATGAGCAATTTGTTCATTATATCTAAGGAATTCAAATAAAATGCTACCCATACACACAATATTCATACAACACATTAAAAAAAGTTAACTTTTGTTTGTCAAATCCATAAAAGTATGGGTTGAACAAAGCAAAAAGTTTGGACAATTTAGAAGAAACTATTAAAAACTCCTCGACTGATAACATTTCCTAGTCATTTATTTATCAAAATAGTCACCTCCAAATTTATACTTTTATTTTATGATATTACCTAAAATTTATTTCAAAGAATTATATTTAACAATTATCATTAAGTTTTAATTAATCTTATTCACGTGTCAGACTTGTTATAAAAAATATATAGACTTGAGTCATGCTTTTCGCCAAATACCTATTGTCACTTGTTAACTCAAGTCAGTACCAAATTCGATTTGAAAGTTCATTCAATCCATAGCGAATGACATCAAATGGCCAAAAGAGCACTGAAAAGTATTAAAAACACAGCACAAACACATAATTTTCTCAAAATTAACAAACCGTCTCTGGTAACTTGAAGATGTTGCACATGGCGTGTTCTGACAAAATGAACGTGTTATCCGAACTGATGAGAGATTCTCTTTCGGTGTCGCACACGTTACTTTTCACGAACTCAGACTTAAATTTGAATTTTATCTCGTCAAGACTCTGGTTCAGTTCCGATTTTACATGTTTCAGTTCATGTGCCTTGCTATCGATCAAGCCATCATGCTGTGGATTGAGAAGTTTGTACGACGCTTCCCTGCCCGACAATATCCTTTGTGATTCGTGGATTATTATTGTTGATCTACGACGCAGGGTCTCTCTGCCTATCTCGACGATTTCCATGGAGTTCTGGCCTAGGACGAAGCTTTTGTATGCCTTGATGAACATGACAATCAACACTAAAAGGCCCAAGATTATCATGGAGTAGGATAGTAATGGTGCTGCCACTGGCCCCACTGTGGTGGCAAGGTAAATCCAGCGCCATATTGGCGTTGTGACCTCGTGGATGCCCTGAAAAATAAAAAAATATTTTTTACTAGAAACAAATTCACGAGAAACCAGACAGCAGAAGGGACTTGAACCCGCACCCTTCGCTATCCTGGCAAATGGACTGACCATGAAGGCACGTTAAGCCGTCGGTCCTGGCAGCATCTGCAGCCGTTAGCACTCGCCAATGCGCACTGGGCCCGTGTGGTGGGTAATGGTCCAATCTCCCTATTCCATCCATAGGGAAGGCCTGTGCCCCAGCAGTAGGAACATTAATAGGCTGATGATGATGATGATGACGTACCTCTTCCACCCACATGACCGGGAATATGATGTCGGGGAATTTGTTGATGCTGTTGATGCCGATGTCGGGAGCTCGGTCTACCTTCAGGTTGAGTTGTACTCGCACGAAGCCTTCTAAGGGCACACCCAGTTTCTGAAATAATAACCACCATATAAATCACACAGTAAATATATTGTTTTAAAGTTACATGGTCAATCTTAGATTAAAACAAAAAGAGAAGTGGTCCAGTCAATGAAGGCAAAAATCAGCTGCCACCTCCGATTTCGTTGAACCTCCATCGATTTTCATGAAAATTGGTGAGTAGGTGGGGGATACCTTAAGAAAACAAAAATAGTCATCAGCACCCACCAATCCGCACTGGGCCCGCGTGGTGGTCACGGCCCAATCTCCCTATTCCATCCACAGGGAAGGCCTTTGCCCAGTTTGAGCTTTGAGCCCAAGTAGCGGGGACATTAATAGTCTGATGATGATGATGACTTCAAAAATGTCACTCGCGCCGTTGTCTACCCCGACACGATCCCCTACCCCGTGTATTAATCTTACCGGTTGGATCATAAAGTAGGTCTCATGCTTCTTCTTGTCAGGTTTCAAACCTTCGAAGCTGTCCAGCAAGGTGGGTTCAGCGTCAAAGAAGTGCGGGTACGAGAGGTACACAGGAGCATCTAGAAATAAAAATAATTATTATAAAATTAATAAAAAATCACCTGAAGTGAAACTTCATTCCTTTTTTTTTAACACACCAATTAGTTTAGCCCCAAAGTAAGCACTATAAGGCTTGTGTCATGGGATACTAGGGTAACGGATAGAATACATATACTGTATATATAAGTATATTTTTATAGAAAATACATATTGAACATCCATGACTAGAGTACAAATGCTCGAATCATCACACAAACATCTGCCCCCACCGGGATTTGAACCCGGGATCTCTAGAGTCGGCGACACCATGAAACCCGGCGTACAAACCACTCGGCCACGGAGGTCGTCAAACATATAACCGTCAAACAAATAACTAACCTAACATTAATTAGGCGGTGCATAAGGCATAGGAGACGCATCATTTATAATTGTCGCGTGTGACGTGCGTACCTCCTTATTAATAAACGAAGAATAAGCTTGGATTATGCTACCGCGGCCCTGTTGGCCGCGTCGAAATTCTTCTAGCCATTCTTAAGCTGCAAGTTTCCAGTTCTAATAAGGTACTCTGCTGCAAGGCAGCGCCATCTCTTCGCATTGTAGGTAACTCACATTGTTAAATGAATACTTTTACAAGTATTAAAATTTGAAATTTGAAAGAAGAAATAGCAATTATAGTAATAATTTATATTTTTTAAGCATGTTACTGCTTGATGTTTAAATCTAAAGAAAATATAACTAGAAAAAATTCCACGCGGACCAGGCAGCAGACGGGACTGGAACCCGCACCCTTCGCTATCCGGGCGAATGCACTGACCAATTATGCTACCGCGGCCCTGATGGCCAAGAAGAACTAGCAATTATAGTTATAATTTTTAATATATAAAAAAATATGATGGCCGTTTGGGCCGCGGTAGCGAAGGGTGCGGGTTCGAGCCCCGTCTGCTGCTGGGCTGCGTGGATTTTTTCTAGTTATATTTTCTTTACATTTAAACATCAAGCAGTTACATGCTTAAAAAAATAAAAATTATAAGCTTGGATTAGTTACTCCATGTTTTGTCTGACGACCTCCGCGGCTGAGTGGTTTGTACGCCGCCGGGTTTCATGGTATCGCCGACTCGAGAGGTCCCGGGTTCGAATCCCAGTGGGGACAGATGTTTGTGTGATGAATACGAGCATTTGTACTCCAGTCATGGATGTTTAAATATGTATTTCTATATAAATATGCTTATATATATATATATATATATCAGTATAGGTATTATTCTATCCGGTACCCTAGTATCCCATAACACAAGCCTACAGTGCTTACTTTGCGGTTAGGCTAATTGGTGTGAGTGTTGGAATTTTTTATTTATTTATTATTATTTATGTCTCTGTTCATTGAATGACATTTGAGTGACACGAACAAAACATGGCATAACTAGTGTAAGCTTATTCCTTGTTTATTAATAAGGGGGGTAGTGTTTAAGCCTTCGTCAAGTTACTCTCTAAATTCCATGCTCGCCGGGAAGAGGGTCTGAATGGAGTAGGAAAAAATATTGGACGATTCGAAAGACGAATTTCCTTTCAGACGGGCATACTGATAGCAATAGTGATCCTATAAGGGTTCCTTTTTCTTCCTTTTGAGGTTTAGGTTTTTGAGGTAAAAAAAAAAAGGTACGGAACCTTAAAAAACTTTAAATTGCTATAAATAATGATAAATCAATTAATTAGAAGTTAACCATCTTGTACGAGCCCTTGTCAACTCAGTACATTGAATAGGGATGATGACTAATTTTTTTTTCTTCGTTTATCAGGTAGATTAAAAGTATTGGACACGTATTTTTTTTTTTCACATAATATAAACATTGCAGAGATAGATTGATTTGAGTCGCATGACGTCACGTTTTGGTACAATTTTCACTTAAAAGTGACGTCACGAGCCCCTACTCCCAAACTTTGACGCGCTATAACTGTGTCATTTTTTGGTTGATAGCCCAAAGAAAAAATACGTGTCCATTATTTTTTGATCTTCTAACTGACGGACTTAATAGAATTTCGTTTAGTGTACCCCGTCATCACCCCTATTGCTATTTCTTGATATCGAAGACAGGGAAACACTTGATAAACTTGACGAAAAACATTTACTACTAAACTTGAAAGTAACTGTGTGCACACTGCTTGATACAAATGCGAACTAACTTGAGCGTGATTAAGGAATATATTTAGGCCCGTATTACAGTATGACAACCAAGCGTTGATCTTTACTTGAGTACAGTTGGAAAGGGATATCGCTATGTGCTATATATAGCGACATCCCTTTCTAACTATGCTCAAGACTAGATCAATCACTGAGAATCTATATATATATAAAACTCAAAGGTGACTGGACTGACTGACATAGTGATCTATCAACGCACAGCCCAAACCACTGGACGAATCGGGCTGAAATTTGGCATGCAGGTAGATGTTATGACGTAGGCATCCGCTAAGAAAGGATTTTGATCAATTCTACCCCCAAGGGGATAAAATAGGGAACGAAAGTTTGTATGAAACTTTGTCAATTTTAAACCGATCGGGCTGAGACTTTGCATGCACGTATAACAAGAATCATAGATGAATGTCATTGTGAATAATACAAGCTAATAACAAAAACTGTAGTCTACATTTCAGCTCTACACCGAAGCGAAGCGAGGGCGGGCCGCTAGTCTTTCTATAATACGGGTCTTAAACAGTAAAATGCTGACCTAAATAATTATTTGCGGTTAAAAATGCTTTGCTAGCAAAATGAACGATTTAATCGTTCACAATATCTAAATGCACGTGACTCACTGTATTGGCAGGGGCTTATGTTCTGCAGTCCTCTGGGTGGGCACGTCTCCCCGTCGCAGTAACATTTGTTGTCAGGATTTATGTAAGCGTTTTCTAAAGTAGAACTCGGTGGAGTGTACAAGCCAGTTTGAATGCCTGAAAAAGGTGTCATTTTTATGTTTTCGTGCACATTGAACCATTTAATAAAACACTTTTATAGTAGGTAGAATGTGTAGGGATGAAACGATACCACTAAATACAAGTAACTACTCAATACTTTTCTTTCGATACCAAGTACTTTTGGCATCGATACTTTAGAAATGAGTAACAAGTAGTATCGTGAAGTAAGTACTTGTATTGGTACTCGGTCGGTCACTCACTGAGAAATATCAAAAAAAAATCATAGGCTGATTATTTACTCTATGGCTTACCATAGAGAACACTTTAGTGTCTACTTGGAATTTTTGTTTCTCGAACGTATCTTTTCTACTGCTCAGTTGGCAGCCTTGCGTATGATTTATATTTATTCCAATTTATTCAGTCAGTCGTTCTTTCATATTAGTCGTTATTTTGTTTTCGTTAAATCAATACAGTGGCTGAATTTATAAGTAATGTCGTTCTTCAAAATTTATCGATACAAGTAAGTATCGATACTTTTCATTCGATACCGAGTAGGCATTGATACTTTATGACCGATACAGTATCTGAGTATCGAGTAAAAGTATCGATACCTAGATAGTATCGTTTTATCCCTAAGGATGTGGCGGCGACATCTACATGCCCCACATATAATCAACATAAAGGAATAAATTACTCGCCTCTTCAAGACATGATGTTGGCTTGCATATATTAAATGTTTGCCGCCGAATTTCCCTTGCGCGATGTAGGCTTCCATACCTATTGATCGCAGCGCCGGCTGGTAGCGCCATCTCTTGACGAGGCGAGCAATTAATTCCTCCATGTTGGTTATTGTGGGGCGTATAAATGTCGCCGCCACAAGCGTGTTAAAACAACTTTTTTATTAAGGACAAAAACAGTTATACATTGTACCCTGCGAAGATATTGTCGCATTTTTATGTACTATCCATTCAATTGTTAAAAAATATTTAGCAAATTTTAAATACTATTTTAAAGATAATTTTTATCAAAAGAACTAAAGACAGACAGACGGAAAGTGGAGTATTAGCAATAGGGTTCCATTTTTACCGTTTGTGTACGGAGCCCTTAAAAGGCCCGAAACAACAATCGGACCCAACTTCCCTAAACACTTTTAAATAATAAACAAAAACTTACCATCTTTGTAAATATCCTTTCTGTATTGCAGTGGTAGTATTCTGCACAAGTCTTTGTCATACACGTATACCATATCAGACTTGGTAACGGCTCGAGGAGGATAGAATGATCCCTCGGAGGCCCTAGAAGGCAAATAAAGAAATAAATTGTCAGTGCATTCGCCCGGATAGCGAAGGGTGCGGGTTTGAGTCCCGTCTGCTGCCTGGTACGCGTGGCTTTTTTTTCTAATTATATCTATATATATAAATCTATATATATATATTATATATAGATATAATTCTTCTGTGAGTGTGAAATTTTTTGTGTGTGTTCAAGGGGATCTGAGAATGGTTTAGATTCACAAAGACGTGTAGACAGGACAACGTCTGTCGGGTCCGCTAGTATATATATATAACTCAAAGGTGACTGACAGACTGACATAGTGATCTATCAACGCACAGCCCAAACCACTGGACGGATCGGGCTGAAATTTGGCATGTAGGTAGATGTTATGACGTAGGCATCCGTTAAGAAAGGATTTTGATCAATTCTACCCCGAAGCGAAGCGAGGGCGGGCCACTAGTTTTCTTTAGATTTAAACATCAAGCAGTTACATGCTTAAAAATAAAAATTATAACAATTAATAAATAGTTCCAACACTCACACCAATTAGCCTAACCCCAAAGCAAGCACTGTCGCTGTCAGCTTGTGTTATGGGATAAAAAAACATCATCATGTAGGCTTCAAGGTATTACCTACTCGAGAGGTCCCGGGTTCCAATCCTGGAATCGGTGGGGGTTTGTGTGGTGAATACGAGCATTTGTACTCCAGTCACGGGTGTTTAATATGTATTTCTATATATAAATATACTTACATATATGTATCAGTATATGTATTCTATCCGGTACCCTAGTATCTCATAACATAAGCCTACAGTGCTTACTTTGCGGCTAGGCTAATTGGTGTGAGTGTTGGGAATTTTTATTTATTATTAAATAAATAAAAATTCATTTATTTATTTATATATTCAATATATAGCTCACCCCCCCCCCCCCCCCCCACATTAAACCCTCTAATAAGATAGGACACTGAAGGAATCTTTTAAAAATACAAAGCTAAGGTAATGAGGCTACAAATAAATTTAATTTTATCATTAAAAGTCGTAATCACAACGATTTCAAAAAACTAGCCTAGTAATCCATAGAACTAGTGGGAAGAAAAATCCCATTAGTTCTGTTAACAGAACTGATCAACAGAACTAATTGGAATAAATGTTATTAATTCAGGCAAAAGAAGCGACAGCAATAACTTTAATCTTTAAGTTTATTGACGTCCCTGAAGGCTGTCCTTCAATACCTTCAACCCGAAGTACCAGGAAAACATGAGTCACCAAGAGGTTTGGTGTAGAAAGAAATTGTTTGGATTTTAAATGGGTAAATATTGCCTTTACCACACAGGATGTGAATGTGGATTTTCCCTTTAAAACATATTTGTTGTATTAAAATTTTATGATTTGTTGACAAAACACTTTACAAAGAACATGCCCATTTGCTGTGACAAATTTTCCGTAAAAGTCGAATTTTATTCTAAATTAGGTAAACTTGAAGATTTATAGAAAGACTAGCTGTGCCCCGCGGTGTTACCCGCGGTTTATTAGGGATATTTTCCCGCAGTAAAACGTAGCCTATGTGTTAATCCAGGGTGTCAGCTAACTCCATACCAAATTTTATTACAATCGCTCCAGCCGTTTAGACGTGAAGAAGTAACAAACATACACACTCACATACTCACAAACTTTCGCCTTTATAATATTAGTGTGATTCTCAGTGATTGATCTAGTTTTGAGCATAGTTAGAAAGGGATGTCACTATATATAGCACATAGCGACATCCCTTTATAACTGTGTTCAAGTAGGGATGAGCACTTGGTTGTCACTCTGTAATACGAGCCTAAGTGTCTGAAGTGGCACGTATTTTTGTCCCATAAATTCGAAAGTGTCTGAAGTGGAACGTATTTTTGTCCCATAAATTCAAAAGTGTCTGAAGTGGAACCTATTTTTGTCCCATAAATTCGAAAGTGTCTGAAGTGGAACGTATTTTTGTCCCATAAATTCAAAAGTGTCTGAAGTGGAACGTATTTTTGTCCCATAAATTCAAAATGTAGTGTTACGTATTCTTCTCCCATACATTTAAAGGTGTCTGAAGTGGCACATCCTGCCGCATCAGGTAATTATATTCGAAACTGGTCTTTTCTCACATTTAAAATAAGCAGGTTCCAAGGGTAGTAGTACTAAGAAAAACTTTACCGACGAAAAACGCAGGCTTTGTACAAAAAATCCGTAATACAAACGAGACGGGTAATGTTTTTGAAAAATATTGTAAATGAAATACTGATTTAACATTGTCTAAGTAGATATTTTCATTTCATGTCAGCTGCATGGAACTCCCAGTAGTTCTCAACGAAACGAGATACTGGACCTACTGAGATACGGAGGAAAGTACTGTACCCTTAGCACGAACTAATATTACGATATTAGTATCGAATTCGTAACGTTTGCGAGTCCGAAATGTCATTGGCAAATTTTGTATGGAAACTTGAACAGGAGGGTCACAAAGTACCTAACGAGAACTAAAAATAAGTACACATTTGACAATGACATTTACACACGTGACACGTACACGCAAACGATACGAATTCGATATTGGTTCGGCTGCGATCGTTGAAGTTAAGCAACTTTCGCAGTGATCGGTCATTGGATGGGTGACCAAAAATTTACTATCTCGAACTCCTCCGTGCTTCGGAAGGCACGTTAAGCCGTTGGTCCCGGTTGCATCTGCAGTCGTTAGCACCCACCAATCCGCACTGGGCCCGCGTGGTGGGTCATGGCCCAATCTCCCTATCCCATCCATAGGAAAGGCCTGTGCCCCAGCAGGGACATTAATAGGCTGATGATGATGATGATGAAGGATACCGTATTAAGGTCAGACCCGTCTTTCCCAGTGGGCACTTTGGGCAAGTGCCCAGGGCCCCGCGATCGATAGGGGACCCCCTCAGATCAAATACAAAGTCCGTAGTTCCTGTTAAATCACCAAACGGAAGTCATAGGGGCCCCATTATCCTAATATGCCCAGGGCCTCCAATAGGTGAAAGACGGCAGTGATTAATGTCCAGAGATTTACGTATAATTTCGTACGATTAGTAATCCTAGCTAAAGCTAGAATAAGCTGGTTATGGTGTACAAACTAGTGATGTAACGAATGTCATTTTTTGAACATTCGCGAATGCGAATGCGGATGCGAATGTCTGGTACCGACATTCGCGAATATTTAGTTTTTTTTTAAATTGGCGCCAATTGTCTATGGCATGGTGGCAGTCTCGTTCGAATTGCCGAGTTGATATGAACTCATCCGACTGAAGTGTCATTCCGCTCGCACCGGTCTTTCCGTAAACAAAACAAGTGAATTTTGAGGTTATTGATTGTGAGTGGTAATAGTGATTTATTAACATGAGTAAATTCAATTCTAGTAAAACATGGACTTATTTCACACTTTGCGATGCTGAACGAGCTAAATGCAAACTGTGTAACAATGAATATTCAAGGAAAGGCAGAACTATGTTTTTTTCTAATATTCATATTCGCAAAACATTCGCAGAGATTTTGCGAATGCGAATGTGAATGCAAATATTCAAAAATATGCGAATATTCGCGAATGCGAATGCGAATATTCGTTACATCACTAGTACAAACAATATCTGTAGGGACGAACTGACGAATTGAGAACTTCATCTTTTTGAAGTCGTTTCATATTTAGCCTATTAATGTCCCCACTGCTGGGGCACAGGCCTTCCTTATGGATGGAATAGGGAGATTGGGCCATGACCCACCACGCGGGCCCAGTGCCGATGGGTGAGTGCTAACAGCTGTAGATGCAGCCGGGAACAACGGCTTAACGTGCCTTCCGAAGCACGCAGGAGCTCGAGATGGTACATTTTTGGACACCCATCCAATGACCGACCACTGCAAAAGTTGCTTAACCTCGACGATCGCAGCCGAACGCGCTAACCACTTGCGCCATCGAGTTCCTCGTTGAAGTTAAAGTGTTTAAATTACCTGATATCGTTGCAAGGCCGATCCCGCCAGTGGGGCAGGTGATCCAATCCGTTTATCTTGTCTATGTACCCGAATCTGTCCATAGACTTCTGCCCGGTGTAGATGGTCGACACCTCTTCAAGAGTGCCGTTTCTCTGCGAAATAAAAAGTAAGTATTTTAAAATTACAATAAGTTTTAGTGTCGCCGCACACGGGCCACACGCCACAGCCACAAACGCCGCCACGAGAAGCTAGGAGCGGCTACTAAAGTGGCTGAAGCGCGCGACAGCGGCCGACTAAGGTAAGGGAGAGAGGGGTGGGGAATCGCGCGAGTGACGTGTGGCGGCGTTTTGTATCGGCGCATTAAGTGGCCGGTGCGGGCCACAAGCGAGCAACGACGATTTGTAGCGTGTGGCGGCCACCGGCGTACTGTGTGTGGCGAGTCCATATAAAATGTATGAAAACTACAAGAAATATGCCGGTGGCGGCGTTTTGTGGTTGTGGTCGGTGGCCCGTGTGCGGCGACACTTAACCTCAATCTTCTCGGTAAAAATGGTAATTGTACTTACAGCTAAAAGTAATCCCATTTGACTATTTGGCCGCTTTCCTTTGGGGTAAAAATAGTGAGCTAGGGTCACCAAAGGGTCATCATATCTGTAAATGAAAACGATTAATGAATATCTAAGAAAACATATTATATTTCAGAGACTCCAAATATTAATTTGACTAAAGATAACAAAGGTTAATTACTTTTCGGCGGTTTAATTCTTTTGTTCGAAAGTTTTTACCCGGCTGCGCAATGCAAGAGCGCGAAGCGCGACGCGCAGGCAGGGTATAGTGTTTAACAGTCTTTATATGTATGTAATGTCCTTTGTGGCACACTAGAGACCAAACGCCTGGACCGATTTTGATGATTCATACATCAATCGATTCGTCTCAATCATGAGAGTGCTACTAAAGATATGATAGTAATCAAAATTCAATATGGGCAAAATTAGGCGCCATATTGTGACGAAGTAAAAAAATAAAGTTGACGAAATATATCGAGTGGGGTATCGTTGTCTAGATAATCGAAAATCATGATTAGGTTCCTTATACCATTTTTCATTTTATATGATTGTTTAGGATCTACAATGATTTAATGTTATATATTAACCACTTGTTATTATAATAGTTACTAGCAAACCAGTGAACCAAATGTTCACCAAAACCTGATTTAAAAAAAAAATGTATTTAATTAATTGAGAACTTCGGAGATTTTGTGTGGTTTCGTTTGAAATTCGTGATTTCTCGAAAACCGGAAGTGCTACGTTATTCAAATCCGGTTTGTAGTCTTATTAGACTATTCTTAACTTATAACTTAAATATTCTCTTTATCTATCTCTTACGGTTTGGCCGCTGAAACAGCACCACAGACGGACGGACGGACGGACTTGTCTAATAGATAAGAGATTAGAGGGATTATTACCATGTAACCTTGTTTTTTTGTAAGTCTCCGATATTTCGACACTGTTGCAAGCAAGATTATGACTCACAAAAATCAAGGTACATGGTAGTAATACCCGTAATAATTATAATGGAAAATATTTCATCTTACCCAAACACCAGTTCTTCAGCTGTGACTTCGACGAACGGTTTAGCACGATCCTTGTACGTGATAGCGAGTCCAGAGACAAGAAGGTTGAATAGGAAGCCAGCCAGATTGGGAGAGAAAGAAGTGACAGTCTGAAAAGAGAAAGAAAATTAGCAGAAAAAATATAGGGTGCATACTCCTATGTACTCGTATGGTCACACTGTCAGACTTGGTAATATTCTTTCATATTGGGCCTGTTGAAATAAATAAAACTATATTAAAGACACCTATTAATCTAGCCTCTCGGTTCCGAACCTGGGGGTAATGAATGAGGGCTATCGCGTCTGAAACCGCCGCTAGAGGCGCTTGTGTTACGTGAGGTCTCCGAAATGTCAAATGTTATAGCTTGCGGGTTGACTACGCGGTTTTTTTCTAATTAAAATAATAGTTGTGAATATTTGGTAATAAATCAGACTTATTATGGCAAATATGAGTTACGTGTCAATGATTGTCAGTTATTTAAAAGCGGAGCTAAGAAAAAATATTGTCCTTCTTTTTTCCGAACAAAACGGGACTGCGCAACACTGTGGCATGGGCGATAATGTTTAAGATACGATTCTTTTGTATTAAAATGTAAACTTTGATATCACGAGCGTGTTTACTAACTTTAAAAGTTACACTTCAGGACCTCACTCAACAGTGGCGCCATCTGGTGAGACAAAAAACGATAGCCTTCATTACCCTCTCCGAAGGTAAATTAGCCATACTTCGGGGGTAACAAAGAACCTAGTTATTTGGTCAAATCTAAATAATAAGAAATACTTTATAATAATACTACTAAATAGAGCATGCGCTCCTTCTTGCTAGCGAGCCCGCGGGGTGCTGAGTGTGGGAAGCGGGGCGAGATTCTCTCCTGAAGATGACATTATTAGAGACGAAGATGTAACGGCCAAATTGGAATTTTTTGGACTGATGATGACATTTTAAAGTCGGGGTAAAATCTGTTTTCCTAATAGGTTACAGGGGTAGCAGGATTGGAAAGGTTAGGAAATACTGATCTAGCCCCTAGCCCCAAAGTAAGCATTGAAACCTGTTATGAGGCTGTAACAGTACTAGGGTAATGAATACGTAAATATCAACGTATAGATGGACGTCCTACGCCTAGAACACAGAAAGCAAGAAGGGTAATTTTATCAAATTTAAAATGAATATTTTGGGCTCATCATTCATCATTTGCGAGCTGTTATTAGATTTAAGAACTAAATGTAACTAACATGAAGCAATAAATATTATGACTAAGGCTAAGGTGCTCATAGATCGTTTGTACGGGAACCGATGTAGACGGCTCGCCCCCACTACACTTCCACCTATTAGATAATAGCCAATCAAACGACGCGACATCAAACAATCGAACCAATTAGCGCTCACGCCCGAGAGCAACGACGTAATGAGAACCAAGTTTTGGTCAAGTCATTTGCTAAAAGCGCCTACTGACATGCCTGCCGCAGGGACAATCTAGGGTGTAAGAGTGGGGATGACACTTTATTGTCTCCTGAATTGTGATGTGTGTAGGCAAGTTGGGGCAATTTTATAAATCGGGCCTGCGGCATAGCGGCAGGAGCGCGAGACCACTCTTGGTTCCTAAATTGTCCCTGCCGCCCTGCACGTTGCCGCGTGTGTAGCGCGATCGGGGCAATTTCTCAATCAGTCGGTTGGTAGCTGTCACACGGAGCGCGCGTATTCCGATAAAGAAGGCGGCCGATCATAATGAGCATGAAGTTTGGACAAGAGTGATCGAAGTATATAAAGACTGGCCCCGCATGTGGGATAAAAAACAAACATTATTTATATGTTTTTTTAATATTTTTTTTAAGTATGTAACTGCTCGATGTTTAAATCTAAAGAAAATATTACTAGAAAAATAGAAAGTTATTTTTTTATTTTTTTTGTAATATTTTCATTAGATTCAAATTTAATACTTCTAAAGGTATTAATTTGACATTGTGGTTTATTTATAATCCTAAGAGATGGCGCTGCCTTGCAGTTTAAGAAAGGCTAGAAAGAATTGGATAGAGCCATCAGAATAGCAGGCATGTGTGTAGAGACAAGCCGATATTGTCCCGACCGCCGTGCACCCTAGATTGTCCCTGTGGCAGGCATGTCAGTAGGCGCTTTAACACATAATTGTGGCGCGCCTGCCACGCCAGCCCGTGGATCGTCCAATGTACCTTTTGGTTAGTTGTGTTGTTGTATATAGGGTACCACAGACAAAACTTGCACAGTAGACGGTTTTGTATTTCAAATTGCTACTATTTTTATGGTCGTTGATCAAGAAGTTATACGGAATGTATATGAAAGTTTTTCTTACACTTAAGTTTCATTTTATCAACTACTAGCCCGCGACTTCGTACGCGTGGAGTTAGTTAGAAATAAAGGTTCACTGCTCGTTCCCCGCAGGTGATAGCGTGATAATATGTAGCCTATATGTTGACCCGACTTCTTAATAATATTCGTGCCAAGTTTGAAGTAAATCCATGCAGTACTTTTTGAGTTTATCCCGGACATACATACAGGCAAACAGACAAAACTTCTAAAAACTATATTTTTGGCTTCGGTATCGATTGTAGATCACACCCCAAGTATTCTTTTAAAAAAAATATTCAATGTACAGTTTTGACTTTCCTACCATTTTTATATATATACTAATTGACCCAGCGAACTTCGTACCGCCCTAAACAAATAGGGGTTGTCCAGCGGACAAAATTGTGAATCTAAACCATTCTCAGATCCCCTTGAACACACACAAAAAATTTCATCAAAATCGGTCCAGTCGTTTAAGAGAAGTTCAGTGACATACACACTCACAGAAGAATTATATATATAAAGATTGTACTTACCAACAATGGAATGTTGGGCACAACCAACTTCTGATCCTTGTCGACAGACAACTCCGGGACGAACCTCAATATTTTGTTGTGTTGAAATGTTACCGTGTCGTTATCGTGGAATTTGATGTTCACCTTTTCCATATCTTCCCTGTAACAACAAAGAATTATTACAACAAACACAATTGTAGGTTCAAAATACAGGTATTCATGGGATTTGTAGTGCACTCGTGCACTCACTAACCCAGGGGCGTAATTTACAATCTGGATTCCCAGGCAGGGTTACCAGATATAAAAAATCAAAAGTCCGGAGAAAAGGCTTGATTTCCATTGAAAAATCCTGAGATTTTTATAGTTTGAGAATTTTCTCTGAAAAAATACTTAACAATTTAGAAAAGTCGTAATATTATCGTTTATATACATGCTGCTTATACTTTTAATTCAATATTATTTGAAGAGCTTAATATGTGCGGCATTTTATAAATCCATAATTAAAGAATAAACCTCACTTAAAAATGTATCATCACATATTAAGTATGATAAAACTGATCAAGTACCTACTTGGATACATAAGTATTGATTTTAATTGGGCAATTATTATCAAATGAATATTATTTGTAGTTTGTTTAAGTTTTTATTAAACAGAACATTAAAACGAAAGCTGTATTTTACTAAAAATTCAAAAAATCCTGAGTTGTCATGAGATTTGCAAAATCCAGCCGCAATCCTGAGAAGAGTCAAAAAATCCAGAAACCTCAGGACAAATCCTGAGATATGGTAACCCTTGTCTCAGGTTACTTACGATGTGCAGTGGGCTAATTAACAGCATGAACAATGATGTACCAATTAATAATAATATCCCCAATGCTGCGGCACAGGCCTTCCCTATGAATGGAATAGGGAGATTGGAATATGACACACCACGCGGGCCCAGTGCGGATTGGCGGGTGCTAACGGTTGCAGATGCAGCCGGGACCAACGGCTTAACGTGCCTTCCGAAGCACGAAGGAGCTCGAGATAGCAAATTTTTGGTCACCCATCCAACGACCGACCACTGCGAAAGTTGCTTAACTTCAACGATCGCAGCTGAACGCGCTAACCACTTGCGCCATCGAGTTCCTCATACCTACTTTCTAAATAAAGTATAAAGTTTGTCACTTTTAGTTTTCCTATACTAAATACTCCCTTAAAGGGGAGTATCGGTAAAACTGTACTACACAGTCACGGCTGTGAGCGCTGATTCGTTCGGTTGCTTGATGTCGCGTCGTTTGATTGGCTTATTATTAGGTGGAAGTGTAGTGGGGACGTGCCGGCGACATCGGTTCTCACACTGGCGATCGCTTATCACACTTCTAACCTCTTTCTGTGTTCTGTGGTCACAACACTAACCTAACCTAACCTAGTGTGAAGTATCACCACTTGGGCCTTGGAAGTACAGTTTAGCCGGAGTATCCCTTAAAGTCGATTTATATGGATAAAATAGATCTTAACGCGCACTTCGATGAAGTCGAAATATTTATGCTAAAGAATAATGTGTAAACAGGGCTTTTCGTAAATTTACGCGTAAGAGGTTAAAAAAGGGGAGAAATTTGTGAAAAAAAAACTTATTCTTTGAGTTAATATACTTACATCTTGGTACGCATATTTATTGAAATAAAAGGTTAGATTAAAACAATATCTCAGAATAGAAGTCATAAAAGTCCTTACTAATATTAGGTATACATGCGATAGTGAGTATTTCTTTGTTTGTTATACAATCACGCAAAAACAGTTTAACTGGTTTGGATGGAATTTTTCACACGTATAGTATAAAATAATGTACCTAGTTTAATACCTGAATTGAGATTTAAGATACTTTTCATCCCGAAAAAGTTTAAGGTTCCCGGGGCACGAAGTCGCGAGTCGCGGGCGACCACTAGTAGTATTAACGTTTGAAAATAATGTGTTTTGTAGATTTTAATTTGTGTAACATTTTCTGATTAATTACCTACAAGCACCTATAATATTGCTCGCATAATGCCAGCATAACTGCTTCGTCATTCGGCACATGCTAATTGAATCTTTAACCCTCACGTGCTGTTCATTATACATACTTCTTCAATACCGTTTAACGAAAATCATTAAATTACTTCGACTATATAGGAAGTTTGTTTTGTTGAATGGCCTGTTAAATCGTGTTTAGATTTGTGAGAACAGTTATTAATAGACTTGCAACGAATATTCGGTTACTATTCGGTATTCGGCCTATTCGGCTGCTTTTATTATATTCGGCCGAATACCGAATATCTACACATTATTCGGCCGAATACCGAATACTTAAATAATATATTTTGTCATAGAGAAATAATTGGTAAAATGAAAAATTAAAATAGATTGATTATGTATATATTCATATTTTCATTTCTGTTATATAATCATTTAAGTAGTCATTGGTACATAACACAGGTACATAATCATCTTTTGAATTGAAAAATGGATGATTCTATGTATTTGAATTATTGTGGTAATCAAAATTTAGAAGGGCAAGGTTTTCATTTCTTTTATAATCATTTATTAAGTACCTACCTAGTCATTGGTCGAGGAGCTCGATGGCGCAGGTGGCTAGCGCGTTCGGCTGCGATCGTTGAAGTTAAGCAACTTTCGCAGTGGTCGGTCATTGGATGGGTGACCAAAAATTTACTATCTCGAGCTCCTCCGTGCTTCGGAAGGTACGTTAAGCCGTTGGTCCCGGCTGCATTTGCAGTCGTTAGCACCCACCAATCCGCACTGGGCCCGCGTGCTGGGTCATGGCCCAATCTCCCTATTCCATCCATAGGGAAGGCCTGTGCCCCAGCAGTGGGGACATTAATAGGCTGATGATGATGATGATGATAGTCATTGGTACATAAAACAGGTACATAATTTAATCATTTTCTGTATTAAACAAGTTAACAGTTTTTAATTCATTCAGTCATGTGATGAATGGTTATATAATAGCAATAATTTAAAGTTTACGCGCGTTTTTGGCCATATTTAAAATGTTGGTTTTGTCATTTAGCCGCATTTTAGCTTGAGGACGGCAGATTAGAACAAAACAAAGGAGCGCGAAACAAGTCTGTACAAGTTTTTGGCGCTAAAATCCAGCCGAATACTTTTGCCTAATATTCGTCTATTCGGTCAGGGGCCTCGCCGAATATTCGGTATTAGGTATACTGCCGAATATAGTATTCGTTGCAAGTCTAGTTATTAAACATCTATACTGACTAGTTGCTACTCGCTACTAGATGGCGCTATTGTATATGTTTCAAACATTATAAGTTCATAAGAGAGTTGTGAGCGAATGTTTGAACCACAGAACAAAAAGAAGTATTTGCTATTTCACAACTCTCTTATGAACTTATAATTTGTTATGATTTTATTTATTTTTTAAGCATTTAACTGCTAGATGTTTCAATCTAAAGAAAAGTTTACTAGAAAAAAATCCACGCGGACCAGGCAGCGGACGGATGTTTTCTAGTAAACTTTTCTTTAGATTATAATTTGTTTATATTTTCTAACAATCTATAAGTATTGTGTTAAAGACAACGACGCGACGAGTATATATATATATATAAAATTAATTCGCTGCATATTATCTAATAAAGAGCTAATTGCTTTAAGCCACATAAGCCGCGAATTTTGATGTAATTATCAACAATCATTAAAAAAAATGTTTTTTTTTGTAAATGTATATTATAATGTTAGCCTGAGTACAAAAATAACAGTCAACACAAAAGCGAAGATAGGCGAGTCTTAAGTTTAAAAAAGTTTGATAATAATTGTTTTAAATTATGTAGGTACATTGCGGTTCTACTAGATGGCGCCACTCAAATGCAAACAAAATTTCTACAAATCAAAAACGCATAGTACCAATAATATTTCGTGTCTGAGCTTTAGTTAATGATCGAAACAGTAGGTAGGTATGTTAAAAAAATTGCCGTCGCAATAAAAACAATGTTACCAAATAAGTACTGTAACCTGTAACACGCGATTCCGGTGAAATTGCAAGAAACTACATTCGCAATGCGGACTTGGCATTGATATTGCCTAATCGCACTCAAATATCATGTTACATGCAGCAACAACATTATAGATGTTTTAAGCAAGCACTCGCTATTATTTCGCTGAGCAAATTATAAAGTTTCGTTTGCAATTCGTGAGAGAGCGAGGGAGTTTTGACACATTTTGTAGTTTTTGAGCAGCGCCATCTATTGGCATTTTGCATATTTTAATAATCTTAATATCTATACATAAATATAAAATTTAAAGGTGACTGACTGACTGACTGACATAGTAATCTATCAACGCACAGCCCAAACCACTGGACGGATCGGGCTGAAATTTGGCATGCAGGTAGATGTTATGACGTAGGCATCCGCTAAAAAAGGATTTTGATTTTTTTTTCAATTCTACCCCGAAGCGAAGCGAGGGCGGGCCACTAGTTTATCATATACTTAAATTGCAATATCTATTAATTAACAATCGCCTGCTGTTCAGATGTATATAAGTACTACCATATTTCTCACCAAAATTAGAACCCAGGACTTCGCATGAGGCGACTACTTGAAGCCAGTGTACTTAAAAACGGCAACGGCAGTGATTAAATGTAATCAGAGTCTTAGAAATTTCTGTCGGAAGTGAAACCTCAAAGGTAAGCTTGCGAATGCGTTACGCGTTACGAAAGTGTGTTCGGGCGAGGCGAACGGGAGTTAAGTGGGGGATATAAGCAAGGGAAAGCAATGCGCGCGCACATTTGCTTTCTCTTTCTCTTATAGCTAGTAAATGAAATATATATATATATGTACATACATGTATATAAATAAATAAATATTTCCAACACTCACACCAATAAGCCTAGCCCCAAAGTGAGAACTATAAGGCTTGTGTTATGGGATACTAGGGTAAAAGATAGAATACATGTACAGTTCATATATAAGTATATTTATATAGAAATACATATGAAACATCCATGACTGGAGTATAATAAATGTTCGTATTCATCACACAAACATCTGCCCCTACCGGGAATTCGAACCCGGGACCTCTCTCAGTCGGCGAGACCATGAAACCCGGTGTACAAACCACTCGGCCACGGAGGTCGTCAATTCAATATATTTTATTGGGTATTGTAACGTAGTGTTCTCATATGGGTTAGGAGGAATGTTATCCCAGGAAATTAATAGAACACTACGTTACACACACCTAAAATTTGTTTGGACAATATTTATTTTTTTATAATGTGGTATGTACATATTAAAAAATATATACAACCCTAAATTTTCTCTTCTACCACCTGCCCCTATTTTTATAGCGGTACGAAGTTTGCTGGTTCAGCTAGTATATATATATATACAGATGGAGCTAAAGCAGTTTCACTTCAGTCGTGTGGTCATAAGAACACTCGTTTTTTTATCTATTCTGCGGTGGTGTGCCTGCCAACGTAGATTACACTAAATACTCTAGTTACTTCAACATTACGACAGGTAAACGCCATTGAGCGGAGACCAACGTTAAGACGGTTTCACAATTCTCTCGTCATAATTTCTGTGCGTAGTCATTTAAACGTGTCCAGATGATGGAATGCGAGAAAATGATAAAATTTAATTCACGGCCGCTGTTGCTCTTAATAATACTAAGTGGAGCTGTCATTATTTAAACTGCACGCATTATAATTAAAAAAAAAAATGGAAAATCCAAAATTGCACGCCTCACACGCGTATTGTATTACAAATTGAAATTGAAATAATTTACTAGAAGAGAAACTTGTAGAAAAAACTTGTTTTTGAAAATGAATATTAAAAATTTTGTTTTTTCGACATTCAATTTTTATTTTTGTTTTTTTTTTATTCTAGCTGTATAAAATAAACAGAATATAATATATTTCGATAGTAAGTTGCTCATCTCCACCCACTTACCACAACAAATAGTATTTCTTTTTTAAATCTAAAGAAATGTTTTAATAGAAACAAATCCACGCGGACCAGGCAGCAGACGGGACTCGAACCCGCACCCTTCGCTATCCGGGCCTATTATGCTACCGAGGCCCTGATGGCCGTGTCGAAATTTTCCTATCCTTAAGCTGCAACGCAGCGCCATGTCTTCGCATTGTAGGTAACCCACAATGTCAAATGAATACTTTTACAAGTATTAAACATTTGAAAGAAGAAAATATAGAATTTATAGTTATGGTGCGGATTCGAGTCCCGTCTGCTGCCTGGTCCGCATGGATTTTTTTCTATTAAAACTTTTCTTTAGATTTAAACATCTAGCAGTTAAATGCTTATAAAAAAAATGTTATCAAATAATTCATTAAATTTTCATTGAATTGAATTATTATATTTTTTCCATTTTTTTTATTATTATCTATACGCGTAAATGTATCGTTTATCCAAAGACCACTAAAAATTTATCATTTCATGTCTCTCCGTCTAACTAGAATAAATATATTTGATAACCATTGAGATCCATCTGTAATACAAAAAAATCCATTGAATTTCATTAATATCTTTTAAGCGGTTATCAGTTCAATCATAATAAAAAATAGGGTTCATCGTCAGTATAAGTGGAAATTAATTCAAAAGCATTTATTACAATTAATTGCATATATTTTTCTAAAACATGCAGACAAACGAGTGCACAGATCCACGGACAGCAGTACTAATAATTTTTTAACTATATTTTTTCGTTATTTAAACTAATAAAATAAATGAAAAAATACGCTGACTTTATAATTTAATATGTCTAGTTTTCAAAACATTCCTTTTTTATTGATTTAGTGTCAAACTTGGGAAAGAGCAATTTTATATTGTAAAATCATCACATAGCGGCCTATCGAGGGTAAAGCACTCCTACACGCTTACGCGTTGTGAGGCGTGCAATCTATATTATATATAAAACTGAAAGGTGACTGACTGACTGGCATAGTGATCTATCAACGCACAGCCCAAACCACTGGACGGATCGAGCTGAAATTTGGCATGCAGGTAGATGTTAGAACGTAGGCATCCGCTAAGGAAGGATTTTGATCAATTCTACCCCCAAGGGGATAAAATAGGGAATGAAAGTTTGTATGAAACTTTGTCAATTTTAAACCGATCGGTCTGAGACTTTGCATGCAGGTATAAGAAGTATCATAGATGAATGTTATTGTGTATAATACAAGCCTGAGAACAAAAACTGTAGTCTACACTTCAGCTCTGCACCGAAGCGAAGCGAGGGCGGGCCGCTAGTATTATCATATGAGACTGTTGATGCCCCTACTACTGGTGCACACAGTGCTATTCAATCTATAGGGACCCACCACGTGAGCGCAGTGCGGATTGGGTACTAACGACTGCAAATGCTGCCGGGACTAACTCACGGAGGAGCTCAAGATAAAAAGTTTTTGGTCACCCATCCAAAGATCGACCATTGCGAAAGTTGATTAGTTCCGACTATCGCATCGCTAATCACCATCGAAATCCTCTTAGATTACATTTAAAAACATAACCGGATATAACTGGATGTACTTATCGACCTCTAAAGGTTATTTTGTACATTACGTAGAAGATTTTCATTGATGCAGCATATTTCCGGTAAATAATCTGTAGGTAATAATTAAAGCGTAAAAACTTACTTTAAAAAATACTAAAGCTTGCATTTATATCTTGCTAAATAATTAAGTGTGCTGATTACCAATTATTATTAACTAGCTGTGCCCCGCGGTGTTACCCGCGGTTTAATAGGGATATTTTCCCGCAGTAAAACCAAGCCTATGTGTTAATCCAGGGTGTCAGCTAACTTCATACCAAATTTTATAAAAAACGCTCTAGCCGTTTAGACGTGAAGAAGTAACAAACATACACACTCACATACTCACAAACTTTCGCCTTTATAATATTAGTGTGATGTATCTAACCAATATCGAATTCGTAACGTTTGCGAGTCTGATATGTCATTGTCAAATGTGTACTGATTTTTAAGTTCTCTTTACGTACTTTGTGGCGCTGTTGTTCAAGTTTACATACAAAATTTGACATTGACATTTCGCACTTGTAAACTATTTCAATTTGAATTCGTGGTGGGTCATGGCCCAAACTCCCTATTTCATCCATAGGGATGGCCTGTGCCCCAGCAGTGGGGACATTAATAGTCTGATGATGAGGATGATGATCTTAATAAAAGTATTAAAAAGTACTTCAGTGGAAAGTGACTTCATGGGTTATCTCATATTGAACTCATTTTTCAAATTGACGACTCTGTATATAATACAGGGAGAAAAAAGCAGCCCTTGCTGAGTTTCTTGCCGGTTCTTCTCAGTACAAGGTCTCCCGCCGTAGATTTGTGAACCGATGGCGTAGCTTTTCGACATTCACAAGTGCTTGTAACAGCCTAGACTGAATAAACGATATTGAATTTTGAATTTGAATTTTACTAATAAATAGCTTACCTATAGACAAAGGGGCCGACTTCCACCAGTTTCGGCTTTTCCCCTTGCTCAAGGAACCCGTGAGGGTTCGTCACGTTGAATATGTAGACCTTCGTTAGCCTCGTGACTCCAGGTCGCTGCCAATAACTGTAGCTCAACGAACCATTCCATATCTTTAATTCCTGCAGCAATTAGATACAAATTAATCATTGACTATACATTTTTAGGAGGAGCTCGATGGCGCAAGTGTTTAGCGCGTTCGGCTGCGATCGTTGAAGTTAAGCAACTTTCGCAGTGGTCGGTCTTTGGATGGGTGACCGAAAATTCACTATCTCGAACTCCTCTGTACTTCGGAAGGCACGTTAAGCAGTTGGTCCTGCAGTCGTTAGCACCCGCCAATCCGCACTGGGCCCGCGTGGTGGGTCATGGCCCAATCTCCCTATTCCATCCATAGGGAAGGCCTGTGCCCCAGCAGTGGGGACATTAATAGGCTGATGATGATACATTTTTAGAGGAGCTCGATGGCGCAAGTGGGAAGCGCGTTCGGCTGCGATCGTTGAAGTTAAGCAACTTTCGCAGTGGTCGGTCTTTGGATGGGTGACCAAAAATTTACTATCACGAGCTGCTTTTCTTTTAGGTTATTATTGTTTCGGGGGGGGGGGGGGGATGTCCCGGAATTGATAAGCCAGCATCTGGTAACCATATTTACACCGCGCCCGAAAAGCAGTTCAAAAAATAAAAACATATCTTTTAACTCAAAATTATTTTATTTGTTTCTATAAGATTACACATCAATAATAAAATAAAACTAGTTTTCTACGGGTTAATGTACTAAATTTATCTATTTATTGACGTTTCGCAGCCTTTTCAGGTCTGCATCGTCAGAATAATGATTTTTTATTTACTTTGTCGAGCTACCCCCAGCCGTACCTCGAGTAAACTCAGAGAAGCTTTCTATCTCCTTAGGAGGAGATAGAAAGCCCCTCTGAGTTTGTTTCGCCGGTTCTTCTTAGAAGGATCTTCTAATTTTGGAACTGGTGGTAGTTTACGGTAGTAAGGGGCAAATAAATAACTCAAAATTACAAAAAATAATTTTAAACAAAGCACTTTATTAACTAAATTAGCTAATAAATTCATACATAGACAATAAAGTTTTAAAAATCTTCCAATGAAATAAAAGTCTTTCGAAGGTAGCTCGACAAAGTAAATAAAAAATCAAATAAATAAATTTAGTACATTAACCCGTAAAAAACTTGTTTTATCAAAATTATCTCTTTCATTTGCCACAAACACTATTCGAATGCAAAAAACTGCTGCTTTATACACTGACGAGTTTGGCTCGAGGCTTGTTTTTTTTTTATCCCGCGACCTCGGCTCGTCAGTGTATAACGCACTTATTATAAAATTATTTCTTACAGCAATACCACAGTATATTGTGGTAATATCACCTTACCTCAAAACAAGCACAGTAAGACTTGTTGTTAGGACTGGATTTAAAGATTATTCAAAATTAAAAAATATATTACTTAAAAATGCGTATTATAGTATTAAGGATTTTTTGGAGGACATTTTCTTTGTAAATGGATGTACCTATTTATTTAATTTAATTTAATTTACATGCCTTGTGGTGAAATATGAAATAAGCTTTTAATGTATTATAATTTAACACCTTTGTATCACCTGTATTTGCAAATTAATGATTGATTGATAGATATACACATACATAAAAATAACAAAAAATATAAAATATTTCTGTAGAATCGAAGTTCATTCTTAGACCTTGCCTCAGGAACAAACGCTCGTATTCGTCATACATACATTTTCCCCTCCCCGGATTCGAACCGAGGTCCTCACAGTAGGCGACACCTTGAAAACCGGTGTACATACCACTCTACCACGCGGAGGTCGTCAATAAAATTTGTGGTACAAACCCGCGGTTTTGTAATGACACTCTTGTGGACTTTCCAATGAGAAAAATTCCCTTGGAAACAGTGCGTAAATCCATAGATTCGTGGCCATACAGGTTTAAAGCCTGCATAAAAGCCAAAGGTGTCCATTTCGAATAGATTTTTTTTATTTCTTGCTGAGACTTTAATAAATATGTCGGTATAAATTTTAATAATATTACATTACTTCATTACAAAAAATTTTTTTAGATCTCACGAAGTATACAGTTAAATTTGAATTTCTCGGAATTGCGGGAAATGTTTTCCATACTAGTCAAAATCCGATCCGATCTCATGTCATAAGTCAATAGGATATATATAGAATGTATAATGTCATATAGGTTTTTTTATACAGTACACTATTCTGACGCATTCCACCTTTTCAGTCCTAGTTCTTTTTTAAGGTTTTGCACCCAAATAGTGACAAATGGGATCCTACTGATAAGCGTCCGCTGTCTGTCTGTGTATTAGTCGTGTGAAACGGTACAGGAACTTTTTATTAAACGATGCGAGTCCATATCGCAATAGTGCGTTTTTTTTGAAGTTATACTTCTTTAGGCGCGTTATGAAAAAATGATAAGAGTGAAATTTTAAGATGCGCGCGCATCACTGTAACACAAAATATTAACAGCATGAAGTTGGTCGCTTTAGCGACCAACTTCATGCTGTTACTTTTGTGTTTACCGCACATTAAGAAAATCTACCAACAAAATAGAAATAGAATCTTTATTTAGTGGGTGCTAACGACTGCATTGTGAAGGCCTATCAAAAGTATTTATTAATCTGGAACAACGGAACCAAAGCGCGATTCAGGAGACTACAGCGCCATCTCTTGACCATTGGTGTAGTAGAACCAAAAACCACATCTTTATTTTTTGTAATAAAGTAACAGTTATAGGTATTCATATTTATAATATTTATCCACATGTTTCTAGTTTGTATATTCGGAATGCGTGTTTGAGTTTCATACAAGTGCAAATCACATGTGTTCTAATAAATTATATTCAGTAGCGATTTTAATTGAATATTTTGATTATTTATTTATTTTTTCAAATTAAAACTGAACTTTATTGACTGTGTCCTTTTCTAGACTTTTTATTAATTTATTGTAATTAATTATTTGCATGCAATTAAAAACTAATTTTAAACGATGCTAAAGAAGGATAACTTCTCACGCGCCTACATAAGTACACGCACCCATTTTTTTTAATTGTGTACCTAATAAGGTTGTTACTTACCCTAAATATTATATAATCCAACCATGGCACGAATGATAGTATGATCCCGAGGGCGACTGTGAATATGCTGAACGTAATGACTGCTAGGCGTCCTGGAACAAAAGAAATTTAATATTTATTTCAAATATAATTTTAAAAAGTAGTTCTGCTACTCGACGGTAGATGGCGCTGTACGACGAAACCGCTAACGACAACATAGTTTGATATGAACAGCGACACAGTGATAGAGCATGCCCGCAATTACTACAGTTACTCCGTGACCATGAGGCTTGCAACAGTGCCGAAATAACGATAACTTGCTAAAATCAAGGTATAAGGTAACAATCCCGTAAATAACGTGAATTACTGTATTTTTTCCATAGAAACTTTGATATGGCGATACGCATATTTTCTCGACAGCTCTTCGTGCTTGGGGTACTGAAAGCTCTTAGCTATTGGGAAACGACGATGAAGTAGTTTGTACACCCACAGAATACAGAAAGAGGTTAGAAAGGCCTTGTGGGCGAAGAAAGGGCGCCACAGTTATGTGTCAGCAAATGTTCATAACTTGACCAATACTTGGTTCTGATTGTGTCGTTGCTGTCGAGTGTGAGAGTTGATTGGTTGGATTGTTTGATGTCGGGTCGTTTGATTGGCTATTATCTATTAGGTGGAGGAGTGGGGTCGAGCCTGTGACATCGGTTCCTGTAGAAACGGTCACTTCTAACTTCTTTCTGTGTACTGTGGGTACATCTATCCAAACATTCAATACATAGAAAGGACGACCTCCGTGGTCGAGTGGTTTGATCGCCGGGTTCAGGGTGTCGTCGACTCGAGAGGTCCCGGGTTCAAATCCCGGTGGGGGCAGATGTTTGTGTCATGAAAACGAGCATTTGTACTCCAGTCATGGATGTTTAATATGTATTTCTATATAAATATACTTATATATGTACAGTATATGTTATTCTATCCGTTACCCTAGCACCCCATAACATAAGCCTTACAGTGCTTACTTTGGGGCTAGGCTAATTGGTGTGAGTGTTGGAAATATTTATTATTATTATTATTTATTAAAGATGGTCACTTCATATACGACTCGCACTTGTCCAGTTTTGTTTTTTACAGTGCAATTTATTTTATTATCGCAATACTCATGCGATTTTTCTTGATTACATCGTTACCACGTTAATTAGATTCATAATTAGTTAAGAAAACCTATGCTTAAATAGTTATCACTCGTTTAATAATGCCTAGACTTCATTTTGTATTGAGAACAATAGATATATTAACTAGTCAAGTGTGATGTTAAGTGGTGATAAAGTCCAAACGCGAAGATAGCTGGTACAGCAGTTATAAACTGCTACACCAACCATCCTCACCTTGCCGGCCTGCAAAACTGTTTCTTCAACGAAATTGAAACGAAAATTTAACGCTTTTGAAGCAATTTCTATTCTAATACTTACTATAAACTAATTTAATAGAAAATATTTGTGTTATGTAGCCGTCTCTCTCACTCGCGCTCCTACATGCTATTTTGCTAATAGCACATGCAGATGTACGTTATAGCCTGATAGAAATAAAATCTGTGTGATGAAATGTTGCTATTGGCAGATATATAATATATGCTATAATAGCAACAAGTCGTAAAAAATTACGACCTTGCATTTCGGACTGTCTGTCTGAAGACAAAAGTCTTTGACCAGTGTGTGTTGCCAGTGATGACCTACGGAAGCGAGACGTGGTCCTTTACTGCGGGTCTTATAAGAAGGCTCAAGGCCATAGGGAAAGCCTGTGCTCCAACAGTAGGTCTTTCATAGGCTGACAGTGATATCGACATTATTTTTATTTTTTAAGCACTCACACCAATTAGTCTAGCCCTATAGTAAGCACTGTAGGCTTGTGTTATGGAATACTAGGGTAACGGATAGAATATGTATATAAGTGTATATTTATATAGAAATCATCATCAGCCTATTAATGTCCCCACTGCTGGGGCACAGGCTATCCCTATGGATGGATTAGGGAGATTGGGCCATGATCCACCACGCGGGCCCAGTGCGGGTTGGTGGGTGCTAACGACTGCAGATGCAGCCGGGACCAACGGCTTACCGTGCCTTCCGAAGCACGGAGGAGCTCGTGATAGTAAATATTTGGTCACCCATCCAATGACCGACCACTACGAAAGTTGCTCAACTTACGCGCTAACCACTGGCGCCATCGAGCTCCTCCGAGCTGAATATAGAAATGCATATTAAGAATCCATGACTGGAGTACAAATGCTCGTATTCAACACACGAACATCTGCCCATCTGATGTGGCGCACGCAGGTGCGTCGGCCCCGAGACGCCCCCATATGGGCGTAGGAGGGTACCGGGGGGTTTTAGTGGAGTAGGATCAGTGTGGCCTTCCGCACTGGTCCTGCTTGAGTAGGGTCGGCACTGTTTCCCGTGCCGGCGAGTCCCACACACGCCGTGCGCCTAGTCAGCGTCACGGTATGGTGCGTAACTGCATTTCCACTCGTCACAAAAAAAAAAAAAAAGGCGACACCTTGAAACCCTGCGTACATACCACTCGGCCACGGAGGTCGTCAAATCGATTACCCGCGTATATATTGTCACATCACTATTCTCAAAGTTTTATAGTTCAAACCTTGAAACAATAGCTATAAAATTATTGAATTACGATAATTTCTAATAGGTATCACACAACAATGGTTTTATGACTGGAAAATTGCTATGATTGCGTTGGTTGCAATTAAGAAATGGATCAATAGTTAACTAGAGTCTGTGCGGAAAGAGAATGGGATTTAGATTGGAGGGCGCTGTAGTGCTTTTCTACCGTGTTTGTAAGGTTTTACCCCTTTTAGGCATGATCAAATACAAAAAACCGCAAGAAATCACAACAACAAACCAATTCCTATCAATACAAAACTTTGACGTTTAACAGATTGCTGGGTTTGATTGCCAAATAAAAGTCTTAATGTTAGTTCCGTTTTTCGCCACGCCCATTCTCTTCCCGCGCGGATTCTACTGGGTTTTTTTAAATGAAACAAGTTTTAAAGGGTTAGATGCACTGATTTTATTTATTTATTGACGTTTCGTAACCTTTGCAGGAATGCGTCGTTTGGAATAATGTATGATAACAATTCCTCCAAAGGATGCGAAACGTCAATTAATAAATAAATTCAGTGCAACGAACCCGTTAAGTCGAACAGCAACGCCACAAAGTTCTTAACGAGAACTTAAAATCAGTACACGACGTTATGAATTCGATATTAGTTAGGTATATTACAATAGCGTAACAATTTCATAAGTCCATATCCTAAGGTATATAGTATTTTGTTGCTAATTTGTTGCTATTTTGTGCCGCAAGAATTGATTTTGTTGCTCCATGATTTCTCGGAAAAACGCCAGTTACGCTAGCGTAATATTACGCTAGCGAAACCACAGCGATAACTCGGAGGCAAAAGCAGTTAGAGAGATCAGATGAACGGCATATTTTGTTGCTATTTTGTTGCTGTAAGATAAGCTGGTTAGATATGAAAAAATCCCCCCCCCCTTCATGGGGGGCTAACTACCCTAATTCATAGATATCTCAGATTTTTCGTATCTCGTGAACTAAAGCAGCTAACGGCACGAGACAAACGGCGTATTTTGTTGCTTTAAGGTAGGCATGCTGCGTACATCATAATCACAACCCTTATCGGGGTATGACCAACCCCCGACCCCAAGACACCAGATATTTCGTATCTCGTCAGGTAAAGCAGCTAGCGACCCGAGACCAACGGCGTATTTTGTTGCTATTTTGTAGCTATAAGATAGGCATGCTGCGTATCATCTGGTGTCTTGGGGTCGGGGGTTGGTCATACCCCGATAAGGGTTGTGATTAGATGTACGCAGCATGCCTATCTTAAAGCAACAAAATACGCCGTTGGTCTCGGGTCGCTAGCTGCTTTACCTGACGATATACGAAATATCTGGTGTCTTCGGGGTCGGGGGTTGGTCATACCCCGATAAGGGTTGTGATTATGATGTACGCAGCATGCCTATCTTATAGCTACAAAATAGCAACAAAATACGCCGTTGGTCTCGGGTCGCTAGCTGCTTTAGCTCAAGAGATACGAAATATCTGGTGTCTTGGGATCGGGGGTTGGTCATACCCCGATAAGAGTTGTGATTATGATGTACGCAGCATGCCTATCTTATAGCTACAAAATAGCAACAAAATACGCCGTTGGTCTCGGGTTGCTAGCTGCTTTAGCTCACGAGATATGAAATATCTGAGATTTCTAAGAATAAGGGTAGTTAGCCTCTCATGAAGGGATGATATTTTTTCATATCTAACCAGCTTATCTTACAGCAACAAAATACGCCGTTTGTCTCGTGCCGCTAGCTGCTTTAGTTCACGAGATACGAAATATCTGGTGTCTTCAGGGTCGGGGGTAGGTCATAGCCCAATAAGGGTTGTGATTATGATGTACGCAGCATGCCTATCTTATAGCAACAAAATACGCCGTTGGTCTCGGGTCGCTAGCTGCTTTAGCTCACGAGATACGAAATATCTGGTGTCTTCGGGGTCGGGGGTTGATCATACCCCGATAAGGGTTGTGATTATGATGTACGCAGCATGCCTATCTTATAGCATCAAAATACGCCGTTGGTTTCAGGTCGCTAGTTGCTTTAGCTCACGAGATACCAAATATCTGGTGTCTTCGGGGTCGGGGGTTGGTCATACCCCGATAAGGGTTGTGATTATGATGTACGCAGCATGCCTATCTTATAGCTACAAAATAGCAACAAAATACGCCGTTTGTCTCGTGCCGCTAGCTGCTTTAGTTTACGAGATACGAAATATCTGGTGTCTTCGGGGTCGGGGGTTGATCATACCCCGATAAGGGTTGTGATTATGATGTACGCAGCATGTCTATCTAATAGCAACAAAATATGCCGTTGGGTTCGGGTCGCTAGCTGCTTTAGCTCACGAGATACGAATTATCTGGTGTATTGAGGTCGGGGGTTGATCATACCCCGATAAGGGTTGTGATTATGATGTACGCAGCATGCCTATCTTATAGCTACAAAATAGCAACAAAATACGCCGTTTGTCTCGTGCC